CTAGCACCTAGAGAAGTAGCCTCAATGCCCGGGTCAGGCGGAACACACAGGTAACAGTCACCCTCATCACTAGTAGACACAGCATACATGGCAGCAAGAATAGCATCATAGTCAAGATCAAAGATAGCAACCCCCGCCCTAGACAGCTCTCCCAAGCGAGGGATCTCAGTGGCGTCAGGGAACTGGTGACGCCAAGCGTCCGTCAGGCGGCCGAAGCAGCGCTGGGTGGAGTGCGAGCCCCCACACTGCTCACCAGCGCGGTCGCCGGTACGGAGGACGTAGGTACAGGGACCAGTACCCCCACCTCGCTGACGCCCAGCGTACCACTCACGAAGCTGCTGGGGGGATGGGGTCTCACGAGTGCGCTGCTGCTGCTGGCGCTGACCACCACCTAAGCCGCCCCGCTGCGCAGAGCCACCCCGACTAGCTCCACCTCCTCCGCCGCCACCTCCGCCACCGCCTCCTCCTCCGTTCCCACCGCCACCGCCGCCGCCGCCTCCGCCGCCACCGCCGCCACCGAAGCCCCCACCCCCGCCACCACTCCCACCACCACCCCCACTCCCTCCGCCTCCTCCACCTCCACCTCCACCGCCCCCGCCAGCCCCTCCAGCGCCCTTGCCCCCCTTGCCCTTTCCGGTGCGGCGTCGCCCGCTAGGGGCAGACGCAGCGCCGACCGACTCGGTGCCAACGAAGTCGACGGCAGCAGCAGAGGCAATAGAGGGCAAAAGGGGGGAGGGGGAGCACCCCTCAAAGACAGGGGCACGCGGGTCACCTCGAGAGGCTCCTACAGCGACTATACTCTTCTCAGCTGCCAGGAGGCGCTCCTCGAGGAGGTCAACGGTGAGTGTGGTGGGGCAAAGAGAGAGGAAGTGGTCCCTGACCGAGCGAAGGGAGTCAGGGAGCCGGGTGACTATGTAGTAGAGGGTGATGTACATGGGGGGGGGGTTCTTGGCGCAGAACTCAGCAGGAAGCGCAGCGCGGTAGCGGGTGTCACTAGTGCGAAGGTGCGTAACGAGGTCAGCGACAGTGGGAAAGGCGGCGAGGTCAGGAAACAGGTACGGCAGTATGAGGCGGCTAAGAGCAGCAGTGGCAGGGGAAGAGTAGCGTGCAACTACAGCGTCGTACAAGGTCTTAGCACTCTTGTACTGACTAAAGTGCGCACGCTCAGCGGTCGGTAAGTGGCGACGCACAGCAAGACGGGCATCAGCATCGCGCGTGGCCCACTGTGAGCGAACAGTGGTGTCAGCATCAGCAGGCGGGGCAGGAGAGGCACCAGAGGTGAGATCGAACAGTGAGAGTCCGTCTGCCCTATCGCACTGTAGGAAAAGCTGCAGGTCATCGACCCAGACCTCGAAGTCAACAGCACGACCCTCAGCATCAAAGGTAAGGACACTGGGGGTAGCCATGACAGCAGTGGTCTAGCAGGGAGTGATCTCACCAGTCCGGGTGGGTAGGGCCGGGGCGCGCCAGAAGGAACAGGGCGGCAACCGCGGTAGCAGCGGCTCGGCAGTGGCGGCTCGACGGCGGCCTCGGCGGCTCGGCTGCTGGGCGGCTCGGCGGCTCGGCTGCTGGGCGGCTCGGCGGCTCGGCGGCTCGGCTGCTGGGCGGCTCGGCGGCTCGGCTGCTGGGCGGCTCGGCGGCTCGGCGGTTCGGCGGCTCGGCTGCTGGGCGGTTCGGCGGCTCGGCTGCTGGGCGGCTCGGCTGCTCGGCGGCTCGGCTGCTCGGCGGCTCGGCGGTGAAGGGGCCGGGACGGCGACGGGGCCGGAAGAGGGCGGCGACGGGGCCGCAAGAGGGGGGGGCGACGGGGCCGCGAGAGGGCGGCGACGAGGCCACAAGGGGGGGCGGCGACGGGGCCGCGAGAGGGCGGCGACGAGGCCGCAAGAGGGCGGCGACGGGGCCGCGAGAGGGCGGCGACGAGGCCGCAAGAGGGCGGCACTGGGGCCCGCTAGAGGGCGGCGACGCGGCCGCGAGAGGGCGGCGACGAGGCCGCGAGGGGCGGCTGCAGGGCCGCGAGGGGCGGCGACGCGGCCGCTAAGGGCGGCGGCGGAGCCGCGAACGGCGGTGACGGGGCCGCGAGAGGGAGGCGACGGGGCCGCGATAGGGCGGCGACGGGGCCGCGAGAGGGCGGCGACGGGGCCGCGATAGGGCGGCGACGGGGCCGTGGAGGAGGGGCCGCTGAGGGCGGCGCGACGGGCCGCTAGGGGGCGGCGACGGGGTCGCGAGGGGCCGTGAGAGAGGGGGGGGGGGCGCTAAGGGCGGCGCGACGGGTCGCTAAGGGGAGGGCGGCACACAGGGCGCGCCTCGGTCAAGAGCGACTCGATCTTAGGGCAGGAAGAAAAAATGTTCAGTGGTGGGCCCTAGGAAGTTCTTACTAGGGAACCTGCTCTATACCATGTGAGAATTGAGGAATTGGAATGACTAAGGAAAATGTGGGTACAAGTAGGAAACCTAGAAATGTTGTACCCTATAGTGTCTACCCCACTACAGCCTACACAGACTATAGCATATAAGTTTGACAGATGTCTGCAGTTTCAAGACGTGCGCGATTTGCGATTGTACCTGAAGCGCGTCCAGTGTTTTTTCTTGTCCAGGTGGAGGCTGTTGGTGTGGCATGAAGCTTATGGAGCCGCGTTGAGGCTCGTACGGAGCAAAGGTAGGTTGCTGCTGGTTTCCGCGCGCATAGGATGAGCCGTCGAGGCTCATTGGAGTAACGCCGTTGTTGTTGTCGCTATTGTTTGATTGCGCAGGAGCTATTTGCTGGTGCTGCTCGTAGAAGGACATGAAGGAGAAGAATTTCTCCATCATACTTGGGTCGAAGCCTATTGCCTGGTTCGCGGGAGTTTCAGTAGACTCAGCTGCTGGTCTTGTTGCCGTGCCTCCCTCTGTCTGTAGGCCAGAGGCTGGAGGTGGAGTAGGAGTAGTGCCGGGAGAGCCATTGGAAGAGCTTCTCTCCTTCTGTGTTGCCATGTCTTCTGGTGTTGTAGGAGTGTTAATAAAGTTGGATCTTGCCTTGTGAGCTCTCATACCATGTTGGGCTGAGAGAAAACCCTTAGGATCTTTCAAGGCTAAGACCCTGAGTAGGAATGTTGTAGTTGCGGAAGCGTTCTTAGTTAACTTTGTTGAACCAACTTGCACTAGTGTGTGAGAGCAAGAGATTGATTATAGCAAGGTAATACAAGTTATTTATAAAATTACAATGGATATAAAAAGGTGCAACTAACTGTTCGCTGTTGCGGTTCGATATAGTGACGACTCGGGCAATTGCTCAATACCGAGTCAGTTGTTTGTCCTTGCTGTCGCGCTGTATTCCGCTAAATTAAAGGTCGCTGACCTTTGACCTTCTCGTAACCTCCAGCTGTTACTTTCTGTCAACCTCATCGGTTGACTCGCCATTGCTTCGTTGAGATTCGACTCGTTTGCAGTCTATTGTTTCGACACAACATGAGCGTTTAAATTACTTGTTTCCAACACTAGGAAAGGGTAATTGAAAAAAATGCGGCCGCCAGTCAGTGCAATCAGGGCGTTTTACCCTGATAACGAGAGCCCTGTTGACCACCTTTCTTATTTCCTGAGTCACCCCATAAGCGTACAACCCAGCTTTCGGAAGACTGGGCTCGGCTGCTTCCCGAACGTCCCTCGCTCGCGTTGCCTTCAGGTTTGACAAACAGCACCCAACCATTGCGACCCCGCGAACCCCGCCAAGCTAGCCTTCCGCTATATCTGTGCTAGGCCTTAATATCTGTTCAGTGGTTGTAATCACTTCCGTGATATTGCATTCTGCACACTCTTTTAATAGTTCAACTCATAACATGTACGGATAAGTCATTTGTTATTACGACACTCCGTTACAGCTCGCCGTAACACTCAGCTTCGTCTCTGACTTCCTGTCATTCCCGACCCGTCGTCGCGGTTTGTCTATGTCTTTGGATTCATCCTCGCCAACGGTCTCGATTTGCCATCGTTGCATTCCAACTTCGATGGTTGGTTGCGATTCTGTCAGCAGCGCTCCACCGAAGGCAGCAGCACCACCGCATGCTCATGCCAATCTCAGTCATAGGCGAACATGGTAGTCATAACCCATGTCAATCTTAGTCTTCCCGAGTTAGTTGTAGGCTGTTGTAATTCCTTGCATAGGTCGTAGCGGTGCTGCTGGTCGGAGCCTGTCAGAGTTCGTGTTTCTCTCGCCTCCTGGAGGTCTTCCTGTTTGCATAAATTATTTTAAAATGGACAAAAGAAGGAGTATGCTGACTAGATCACCGGCTTCAAGCGGTTTTCAAAGAGCGAGAACAGCCTCGACCCGCCTTTCGCCTCCGCAACGGCCCATTGTTTCTCCTTGTTTTAGGGTCCGCCGTGGGATCTGCCATGGGGTCCGCCATGGATCCCGTTCAGGCTTTCGCCGACCTTATCGGCACGCCCCGTCCAGCCGCGACTTTCCTGCTAGCTAGCTTCGCGTTTGTCCCGATCGCGTGGCTTCACAGATTCATATCATCGCCTACACTCCGCCACCTGTACTGCACAGTAACGGGACTGCTTCTATCAGCCTTCGTGTTCGGATGGACGGCAGACGCGCACTTCTTCGTGTGCATGCTCTACTCCATGGCCGTAATGCGGCTGTTTCGTAGACACTGCGGCGTCTTAACTTTCTTCGGAACGTTCGCGTACTTGATTGGTTGGTAAGTTTCCCTTCCTTGTTCTCTGCTTCTTGGAGTTTCTTTGGTTTTGGAATCGCGAGTCAAAGCCACAAGATCAGGACGGTAGCAGCCTTTCATGCAAACGGTTAGCGCCTTCTGCGTCATTGCCAGCTGTCTCAGCGTTTCCGATCTTTGCATCCTCTCCCTTCTAGCCGTCCTTTCATGCGAACATCCCTCCGTCTCCGCATTCCCCGCTTCAAACTCCTCAATCACCAGCGTTCACATTTCCCGTTTTTCAAGTGTGTGCCTTCCCTCGTTCGATGATGATCGAATCAATGATGCGATCCGACCTCCTGCAGCCACATCATCATGCGCACCCACGAGACCCGCACGGAGGGCGTGCTCGACTGCACAGGCGCGCTCACCGTCCTCGCTACAAAGCTCACCGCTGTGGCGTATAACTACCAGGACGGGCTCACGCTGCTGGAGGGGAAGGACGAAGGCGCGCAATCCAAGGACGAGAAGGAGAGGAAGGAGTTGACCGAGGAGCAGAGACGGCGGGAGGAGCGGACAGAGCGCTCGCGATTGGAGCGGCGAAAGGCGGCGCTGGTTACCATGCCGTCGGTGCTGGAGCTGATGGGGTATCTGTTCTGCTTCGGGCTGCACATGACGGGCCCGTTCTTTGAGTTCACGGCGTATGACGACTGGACCCGGCGACAAGGGGTACGCTGTCAAACGTGGCATGTGCTTCCATGCCCATGCATACCTTGTCAACAATGGATAGGTGGTCTGGCTGCGGATGCAACATCCATATCACCGGGCTGTCTTGTGATGTCATCTCCCCGCACCTCACCACTCTGCGCGTTCCCGCCCATCCCCTTCCGTCCTCACCACCTGCAGATCTGGTCCGCGGGTGTCAAGCAGCCGCCCATCCTCCCGCCATTCCTCCGTGCGTTCATCCAGGGCGTGCTCTCAGCGCTCGTCTTTCTGCTCGTGTCCCCCTCGCTCGACCTCACTCAAATCAGCAACCTACACAAGAACCGCGCCCACCCCGTCCACGTGCGCTGGCTCGTGGCGCACCACGCGTGCATCGTGTGGCGCTTCCGCGCGTACATCGTGTGGAGCATCACCGAGGCCGCCATGATCACCGCCGGGCTCGGCTTCACCGGCTGGGAGACCCCCACGGGGGACCCTGGGAAGGGCGGGGACGTGAAGTTGAACGGGGGGAAACTGGAGGGGGCGAAGGGGAATGGGAAGGGCGGTGGGGATGGGGATGTGGGAAAGCAGGAGGGTGATAGGACGTGTGCGGCGCCTGCAGGGGAGGGGAAGGCACTGTGGTATCGGGCTCGCAACGTGGACATACTGAGGGTTGAGTTTCCCACGAGCTGCCTCGACTTTGCTACCAAGTGGAACATCCCATGTGCTTACTGCCTCCCATGTGCTTACTGCCTCCCATGTGCTTACTGCCTCCCATGTGCTTACTGCCTCCCATGTGCTTACTGCCTCCCATGTGCTTACTGCCTCCCATGTGCTTACTGCCTCCCATGTGCTTACTGCCTCCCATGTGCTTACTGCCTCCCATGTGCTTACTGCCTCCCATGTGCTTACTGCCTCCCATGTGCTTACTGCCTCCCATGTGCTTACTGCCTCCCATGTGCTTACTGCCTCCCATGTGCTTACTGCCTCCCATGTGCTTACTGCCTCCCATGTGCTTACTGCCTCCCATGTGCTTACTGCCTCCCATGTGCTTACTGCCTCCCATGTGCTTACTGCCTCCCATGTGCTTACTGCCTCCCATGTGCTTACTGCCTCCCATGTGCTTACTGCCTCCCATGTGCTTACTGCCTCCCATGTGCTTACTGCCTCCCATGTGCTTACTGCCTCCATGTGCTTACTGCCTCCCATGTGCTTACTGCCTCCCATGTGCTTACTGCCTCCCATGTGCTTACTAGCCTCCCATGGTGCTTACTGCCTCCATGTGCTTACTGCCTCCCATGTGCTTACTGCCTCCCATGTGCTTACTGCATTACTGCCCATGTGCTTACTGCCTCCCATGTGCTTACTGCCTCCCATGTGCTTACTGCCTCCCATGTGCTTACTGCCTCCCATGTGCTTACTGCCTCCCATGTGCTTAATGCCTCCCATGTGCTTACTGCCTCCCATGTGCTTACTGCCTCCCATGTGCTTACTGCCTCCCATGTGCTTACTGCTCCCTGTGCTTACTGCCTCCCATGTGCTTACTGCCTCCCATGTGCTTACTGCCTCCCATGTGCTTACTGCCTCCCATGTGCTTACTGCCTCCCATGTGCTTACTGCCTCCCATGTGCTTACTGCCTCCCATGTGCTTACTGCCTCCCATGTGCTTACTGCCTCCCATGTGCTTACTGCCTCCCATGTGCTTACTGCCTCCCATGTGCTTACTGCCTCCCATGTGCTTACTGCCTCCCATGTGCTTACTGCCTCCCATGTGCTTACTGCCTCCCATGTGCTTACTGCCTCCCATGTGCTTACTGCCTCCCATGTGCTTACTGCCTCCCATGTGCTTACTGCCTCCCATGTGCTTACTGCCTCCCATGTGCTTACTGCCTCCCATGTGCTTACTGCCTCCCATGTGCTTACTGCCTCCCATGTGCTTACTGCCTCCCATGTGCTTACTGCCTCCCATGTGCTTACTGCCTCCCATGTGCTTACTGCCTCCCATGTGCTTACTGCCTCCCATGTGCTTACTGCCTCCCATGTGCTTACTGCCTCCCATGTGCTTACTGCCTCCCATGTGCTTACTGCCTCCCATGTGCTTACTGCCTCCATGTGCTTACTGCCTCCCATGTGCTTACTGCCTCCCATGTGCTTACTGCCTCCCATGTGCTTACTGCCTCCCATGTGCTTACTGCCTCCCATGTGCTTACTGCCTCCCATGTGCTTACTGCCTCCCATGTGCTTACTGCCTCCCATGTGCTTACTGCCTCCCATGTGCTTACTGCCTCCCATGTGCTTACTGCCTCCCATGTGCTTACTGCCTCCCATGTGCTTACTGCCTCCCATGTGCTTACTGCCTCCCATGTGCTTACTGCCTCCCATGTGCTTACTGCCTCCCATGTGCTTACTGCCTCCCATGTGCTTACTGCCTCCCATGTGCTTACTGCCTCCCATGTGCTTACTGCCTCCCATGTGCTTACTGCCTCCCATGTGCTTACTGCCTCCCATGTGCTTACTGCCTCCCATGTGCTTACTGCCTCCCATGTGCTTACTGCCTCCCATGTGCTTACTGCCTCCCATGTGCTTACTGCCTCCCATGTGCTTACTGCCTCCCATGTGCTTACTGCCTCCCATGTGCTTACTGCCTCCCATGTGCTTACTGCCTCCCATGTGCTTACTGCCTCCCATGTGCTTACTGCCTCCCATGTGCTTACTGCCTCCCATGTGCTTACTGCCTCCCATGTGCTTACTGCCCTCCCATGTGCTTACTGCCTCCCATGTGCTTACTGCCTCCCATGTGCTTACTGCCTCCCATGTGCTTACTGCCTCCCATGTGCTTACTGCCTCCCATGTGCTTACTGCCTCCCATGTGCTTACTGCCTCCCATGTGCTTACTGCCTCCCATGTGCTTACTGCCTCCCATGTGCTTACTGCCTCCCAATGTGCTTACTGCCTCCCATGTGCTTACTGCCTCCCATGTGCTTACTGCCTCCCATGTGCTTACTGCCTCCCATGTGCTTACTGCCTCCCATGTGCTTACTGCCTCCCATGTGCTTACTGCCTCCCATGTGCTTACTGCCTCCCATGTGCTTACTGCCTCCCATGTGCTTACTGCCTCCCATGTGCTTACTGCCTCCCCATGTGCTTACTGCCTCCCATGTGCTTACTGCCTCCCATGTGCTTACTGCCTCCCATGTGCTTACTGCCTTCCCATTGTGCTTACTGCCTCCCATGTGCTTACTGCCTCCCCATGTGCTTACTGCCTCCCATGTGCTTACTGCCTCCCATGTGCTTACTGCCTCCCATGTGCTTACTGCCTCCCATGTGCTTACTGCCTCCCATTTGCTTACTGCCTCCCATGTGCTTACTGCCTCCCATGTGCTTACTGCCTCCCATGTGCTTACTTGCCTCCATGTGCTTACTGCCTCCCATGTGCTTACTGCCTCCCATGTGCTTACTGCCTCCATGTGCTTACTGCCTCCCATGTGCTTACTGCCTCCCATGTGCTTACTGCCTCCCATGTGCTTACTGCCTCCCATGTGCTTACTGCCTCCCATGTGCTTACTGCCTCCCATGTGCTTACTGCCTCCCATGTGCTTACTGCCTCCCATGTGCTTACTGCCTCCCATGTGCTTACTGCCTCCCATGTGCTTACTGCCTCCCATGTGCTTACTGCCTCCCATGTGCTTACTTGCCATTGCCTCCCATGTGCTTACTGCCTCCCATGTGCTTTACTGCCTCCCATGTGCTTACTGCCTCCCATGTGCTTACTGCCTCCCATGTGCTTACTGCCTCCCATGTGCTTACTGCCTCCCATGTGCTTACTGCCTCCCATGTGCTTACTGCCTCCCATGTGCTTACTGCCTCCCATGTGCTTACTGCCTCCCATGTGCTTACTGCCTCCCATGTGCTTACTGCCTCCCATGTGCTTACTGCCTCCCATGTGCTTACTGCCTCCCATGTGCTTACTGCCTCCCATGTGCTTACTGCCTCCCATGTGCTTACTGCCTCCCATGTGCTTACTGCCTCCCATGTGCTTACTGCCTCCCATGTGCTTACTGCCTCCCATGTGCTTACTGCCTCCCATGTGCTTACTGCCTCCCATGTGCTTACTGCCTCCCATGTGCTTACTGCCTCCCATGTGCTTACTGCCTCCCATGTGCTTACTGCCTCCCATGTGCTTACTGCCTCCCATGTGCTTACTGCCTCCCATGTGCTTACTGCCTCCCATGTGCTTACTGCCTCCCATGTGCTTACTGCCTCCCATGTGCTTACTGCCTCCCATGTGCTTACTGCCTCCCATGTGCTTACTGCCTCCCATGTGCTTACTGCCTCCCATGTGCTTACTCTGCCTCCCATGTGCTTACTGCCTCCCATGTGCTTTACTGCCTCCCATGTGCTTACTGCCTCCCATGTGCTTACTGCCTCCCATGTGCTTACTGCCTCCCATGTGCTTACTGCCTCCCATGTGCTTACTGCCTCCCATGTGCTTACTTGCCTCCCATGTGCTTACTGCCTCCCATGTGCTTACTGCCTCCCATGTGCTTACTGCCTCCCATGTGCTTACTGCCTCCCATGTGCTTACTGCCTCCCATGTGCTTACTGCCTCCCATGTGCTTACTTGCCTCCCATGTGCTTACTGCCTCCATGTGCTACTGCCTCCCATGTGCTTACTGCCTCCCATGTGCTTACTTGCCTCCCATGTGCTTACTGCCTCCCATGTGCTTACTTGCCTCCCATGTGCTTACTGCCTCCCATGTGCTTACCTGCCTCCCATGTGCTTACTGCCTCCCATGTGCTTACTGCCTCCCATGTGCTTACTGCCTCCCATGTGCTTACTGCCTCCCATGTGCTTACTGCCTCCCATGTGCTTACTGCCTCCCATGTGCTTACTGCCTCCCATGTGCTTACTGCCTCCCATGTGCTTACTGCCTCCCATGTGCTTACTGCCTCCCATGTGCTTACTGCCTCCCATGTGCTTACTGCCTCCCATGTGCTTACTGCCTCCCATGTGCTTACTGCCTCCCATGTGCTTACTGCCTCCCATGTGCTTACTGCCTCCCATGTGCTTACCTGCCTCCCATGTGCTTACTGCCTCCCATGTGCTTACTGCCTCCCATGTGCTTACTGCCTCCCATGTGCTTACTGCCTCCCATGTGCTTACTGCCTCCCATGTGCTTACTGCCTCCCATGTGCTTACTGCCTCCCATGTGCTTACTGCCTCCCATGTGCTTACTGCCTCCCATGTGCTTACTGCCTCCCATGTGCTTACTGCCTCCCATGTGCTTACTGCCTCCCATGTGCTTACTCTGCCTCCCATGTGCTTACTGCCTCCCATGTGCTTACTGCCTCCCATGTGCTTACTGCCTCCCATGTGCTTACTGCCTCCCATGTGCTTACTGCCTCCCATGTGCTTACTGCCTCCCATGTGCTTACTGCCTCCCATGTGCTTACTGCCTCCCATGTGCTTACTGCCTCCCATGTGCTTACTGCCTCCCATGTGCTTACTGCCTCCCATGTGCTTACTGCCTCCCATGTGCTTACTGCCTCCCATGTGCTTACTGCCTCCCATGTGCTTACTGCCTCCCATGTGCTTACTGCCTCCCATGTGCTTACTGCCTCCCATGTGCTTACTGCCTCCCATGTGCTTACTGCCTCCCATGTGCTTACTGCCTCCCATGTGCTTACTGCCTCCCATGTGCTTACTGCCTCCCATGTGCTTACTGCCTCCCATGTGCTTACTGCCTCCCATGTGCTTACTGCCTCCCATGTGCTTACTGCCTCCCATGTGCTTACTGCCTCCCATGTGCTTACTGCCTCCCATGTGCTTACTGCCTCCCATGTGCTTACTGCCTCCCATGTGCTTACTGCCTCCCATGTGCTTACTGCCTCCCATGTGCTTACTGCCTCCATGTGCTTACTGCCTCCCATGTGCTTACTGCCTCCCATGTGCTTACTGCCTCCCATGTGCTTACTGCCTCCCATGTGCTTACTGCCTCCCATGTGCTTACTGCCTCCCATGTGCTTACTCTGCCTCCCATGTGCCTTACTGCCTCCCATGTGCTTACTGCCTCCCATGTGCTTACTGCCTCCCATGTGCTTACTGCCTCCCATGTGCTTACTGCCTCCCATGTGCTTACTGCCTCCCATGTGCTTACTCTGCCTCCCATGTGCTTACTGCCTCCCATGTGCTTACTGCCTCCCATGTGCTTACTGCCTCCCATGTGCTTACTGCCTCCCATGTGCTTACTGCCTCCCATGTGCTTACTGCCTCCATGTGCTTACTGCCTCCCATGTGCTTACTGCCTCCATGTGCTTACTGCCTCCCATTGTGCTTACTGCCTCCCATGTGCTTACTGCCTCCCATGTGCTTACTGCCTCCCATGTGCTTACTGCCTCCCATGTGCTTACTGCCTCCCATGTGCTTACTGCCTCCCATGTGCTTACTGCCTCCCATGTGCTTACTGCCTCCCATGTGCTTACTGCCTCCCATGTGCTTACTGCCTCCCATGTGCTTACTGCCTCCCATGTGCTTACTGCCTCCCATGTGCTTACTGCCTCCCATGTGCTTACTGCCTCCCATGTGCTTACTGCCTCCCATGTGCTTACTGCCTCCCATGTGCTTACTGCCTCCCATGTGCTTACTGCCTCCCATGTGCTTACTGCCTCCCATGTGCTTACTGCCTCCCATGTGCTTACTGCCTCCCATGTGCTTACTGCCTCCCATGTGCTTACTGCCTCCCATGTGCTTACTGCCTCCCATGTGCTTACTGCCTCCCATGTGCTTACTGCCTCCCATGTGCTTACTGCCTCCCATGTGCTTACTGCCTCCCATGTGCTTACTGCCTCCCATGTGCTTACTGCCTCCCATGTGCTTACTGCCTCCCATGTGCTTACTGCCTCCCATGTGCTTACTGCCTCCCATGTGCTTACTGCCTCCCATGTGCTTACTGCCTCCCATGTGCTTACTGCCTCCCATGTGCTTACTGCCTCCCATGTGCTTACTGCCTCCCATGTGCTTACTGCCTCCCATGTGCTTACTGCCTCCCATGTGCTTACTGCCTCCCATGTGCTTACTGCCTCCCATGTGCTTACTGCCTCCCATGTGCTTACTGCCTCCCATGTGCTTACTGCCTCCCATGTGCTTACTGCCTCCCATGTGCTTACTGCCTCCCATGTGCTTACTGCCTCCCATGTGCTTACTGCCTCCCATGTGCTTACTGCCTCCCATGTGCTTACTGCCTCCCATGTGCTTACTGCCTCCCATGTGCTTACTGCCTCCCATGTGCTTACTGCCTCCCATGTGCTTACTGCCTCCCATGTGCTTACTGCCTCCCATGTGCTTACTGCCTCCCATGTGCTTACTGCCTCCCATGTGCTTACTGCCTCCCATGTGCTTACTGCCTCCCATGTGCTTACTGCCTCCCATGTGCTTACTGCCTCCCATGTGCTTACTGCCTCCCATGTGCTTACTGCCTCCCATGTGCTTACTGCCTCCCATGTGCTTACTGCCTCCCATGTGCTTACTGCCTCCCATGTGCTTACTGCCTCCCATGTGCTTACTGCCTCCCATGTGCTTACTGCCTCCCATGTGCTTACTGCCTCCCATGTGCTTACTGCCTCCCATGTGCTTACTGCCTCCCATGTGCTTACTGCCTCCCATGTGCTTACTGCCTCCCATGTGCTTACTGCCTCCCATGTGCTTACTGCCTCCCATGTGCTTACTGCCTCCCATGTGCTTACTGCCTCCCATGTGCTTACTGCCTCCCATGTGCTTACTGCCTCCCATGTGCTTACTGCCTCCCATGTGCTTACTGCCTCCCATGTGCTTACTGCCTCCCATGTGCTTACTGCCTCCCATGTGCTTACTGCCTCCCATGTGCTTACTGCCTCCCATGTGCTTACTGCCTCCCATGTGCTTACTGCCTCCCATGTGCTTACTGCCTCCCATGTGCTTACTGCCTCCCATGTGCTTACTGCCTCCCATGTGCTTACTGCCTCCCATGTGCTTACTGCCTCCCATGTGCTTACTGCCTCCCATGTGCTTACTGCCTCCCATGTGCTTACTGCCTCCCATGTGCTTACTGCCTCCCATGTGCTTACTGCCTCCCATGTGCTTACTGCCTCCCATGTGCTTACTGCCTCCCATGTGCTTACTGCCTCCCATGTGCTTACTGCCTCCCATGTGCTTACTGCCTCCCATGTGCTTACTGCCTCCCATGTGCTTACTGCCTCCCATGTGCTTACTGCCTCCCATGTGCTTACTGCCTCCCATGTGCTTACTGCCTCCCATGTGCTTACTGCCTCCCATGTGCTTACTGCCTCCCATGTGCTTACTGCCTCCCATGTGCTTACTGCCTCCCATGTGCTTACTGCCTCCCATGTGCTTACTGCCTCCCATGTGCTTACTGCCTCCCATGTGCTTACTGCCTCCCATGTGCTTACTGCCTCCCATGTGCTTACTGCCTCCCATGTGCTTACTGCCTCCCATGTGCTTACTGCCTCCCATGTGCTTACTGCCTCCCATGTGCTTACTGCCTCCCATGTGCTTACTGCCTCCCATGTGCTTACTGCCTCCCATGTGCTTACTGCCTCCCATGTGCTTACTGCCTCCCATGTGCTTACTGCCTCCCATGTGCTTACTGCCTCCCATGTGCTTACTGCCTCCCATGTGCTTACTGCCTCCCATGTGCTTACTGCCTCCCATGTGCTTACTGCCTCCCATGTGCTTACTGCCTCCCATGTGCTTACTGCCTCCCATGTGCTTACTGCCTCCCATGTGCTTACTGCCTCCCATGTGCTTACTGCCTCCCATGTGCTTACTGCCTCCCATGTGCTTACTGCCTCCCATGTGCTTACTGCCTCCCATGTGCTTACTGCCTCCCATGTGCTTACTGCCTCCCATGTGCTTACTGCCTCCCATGTGCTTACTGCCTCCCATGTGCTTACTGCCTCCCATGTGCTTACTGCCTCCCATGTGCTTACTGCCTCCCATGTGCTTACTGCCTCCCATGTGCTTACTGCCTCCCATGTGCTTACTGCCTCCCATGTGCTTACTGCCTCCCATGTGCTTACTGCCTCCCATGTGCTTACTGCCTCCCATGTGCTTACTGCCTCCCATGTGCTTACTGCCTCCCATGTGCTTACTGCCTCCCATGTGCTTACTGCCTCCCATGTGCTTACTGCCTCCCATGTGCTTACTGCCTCCCATGTGCTTACTGCCTCCCATGTGCTTACTGCCTCCCATGTGCTTACTGCCTCCCATGTGCTTACTGCCTCCCATGTGCTTACTGCCTCCCATGTGCTTACTGCCTCCCATGTGCTTACTGCCTCCCATGTGCTTACTGCCTCCCATGTGCTTACTGCCTCCCATGTGCTTACTGCCTCCCATGTGCTTACTGCCTCCCATGTGCTTACTACTGCCTCCCATGTGCTTACTGCCTCCCATGTGCTTACTACTGCCTCCCATGTGCTTACTGCCTCCCATGTGCTTACTGCCTCCATGTGCTTACTCTGCCTCCCATGTGCTTACTTGCCTCCCATGTGCTTACTGCCTCCCATGTGCTTACTGCCTCCATGTGCTTACTGCCTCCCATGTGCTTACTGCCTCCCATGTGCTTACTGCTCCCATGTGCTTACTGCCTCCCATGTGCTTACTGCCATCCCATGTGCTTACTGACTTCCCATGTGCTTACTGCCTCCCTGTGCTTACTGCCTCCCATGTGCTTACTGCCTCCCATGTGCTTACTGCCTCCCATGTGCTTACTGCCTCCCATGTGCTTACTGCCTCCCTGTGCTTACTGCCTCCCATGTGCTTACTGCCTCCCATGTGCTTACTGCCTCCCATGTGCTTACTGCCTCCCATGTGCTTACTGCCTCCCATGTGCTTACTGCCTCCCATGTGCTTACTGCCTCCCATGTGCTTACTGCCTCCATGTGCTTACTTCTCTGCCTCCCATGTGCTTACTGCTCCCATGTGCTTACTGCCTCCCATGTGCTTACTTACTGCCTCCCATGTGCTTACTGCCATCCCATGTGCTTACTGCCTCCCATGTGCTTACTGCCTCCCATGTGCTTACTGCCTCCCATGTGCTTACTGCCTCCCATGTGCTTACTGCCTCCCATGTGCTTACTGCCTCCCATGTGCTTACTGCCTCCCATGTGCTTACTGCCTCCCATGTGCTTACTGCCTCCCATGTGCTTACTGCCTCCCATGTGCTTACTGCCTCCCATGTGCTTACTGCCTCCCATGTGCTTACTGCCTCCCATGTGCTTACTGCCTCCCATGTGCTTACTGCCTCCCATGTGCTTACTGCCTCCCATGTGCTTACTGCCTCCCATGTGCTTACTGCCTCCCATGTGCTTACTGCCTCCCATGTGCTTACTGCCTCCCATGTGCTTACTGCCTCCCATGTGCTTACTGCCTCCCATGTGCTTACTGCCTCCCATGTGCTTACTGCCTCCCATGTGCTTACTGCCTCCCATGTGCTTACTGCCTCCCATGTGCTTACTGCCTCCCATGTGCTTACTGCCTCCCATGTGCTTACTGCCTCCCATGTGCTTACTGCCTCCCATGTGCTTACTGCCTCCCATGTGCTTACTGCCTCCCATGTGCTTACTGCCTCCCATGTGCTTACTGCCTCCCATGTGCTTACTGCCTCCCATGTGCTTACTGCCTCCCATGTGCTTACTGCCTCCCATGTGCTTACTGCCTCCCATGTGCTTACTGCCTCCCATGTGCTTACTGCCTCCCATGTGCTTACTGCCTCCCATGTGCTTACTGCCTCCCATGTGCTTACTGCCTCCCATGTGCTTACTGCCTCCCATGTGCTTACTGCCTCCCATGTGCTTACTGCCTCCCATGTGCTTACTGCCTCCCATGTGCTTACTGCCTCCCATGTGCTTACTGCCTCCCATGTGCTTACTGCCTCCCATGTGCTTACTGCCTCCCATGTGCTTACTGCCTCCCATGTGCTTACTGCCTCCCATGTGCTTACTGCCTCCCATGTGCTTACTGCCTCCCATGTGCTTACTGCCTCCCATGTGCTTACTGCCTCCCATGTGCTTACTGCCTCCCATGTGCTTACTGCCTCCCATGTGCTTACTGCCTCCCATGTGCTTACTGCCTCCCATGTGCTTACTGCCTCCCATGTGCTTACTGCCTCCCATGTGCTTACTGCCTCCCATGTGCTTACTGCCTCCCATGTGCTTACTGCCTCCCATGTGCTTACTGCCTCCCATGTGCTTACTGCCTCCCATGTGCTTACTGCCTCCCATGTGCTTACTGCCTCCCATGTGCTTACTGCCTCCCATGTGCTTACTGCCTCCCATGTGCTTACTGCCTCCCATGTGCTTACTGCCTCCCATGTGCTTACTGCCTCCCATGTGCTTACTGCCTCCCATGTGCTTACTGCCTCCCATGTGCTTACTGCCTCCCATGTGCTTACTGCCTCCCATGTGCTTACTGCCTCCCATGTGCTTACTGCCTCCCATGTGCTTACTGCCTCCCATGTGCTTACTGCCTCCCATGTGCTTACTGCCTCCCATGTGCTTACTGCCTCCCATGTGCTTACTGCCTCCCATGTGCTTACTGCCTCCCATGTGCTTACTGCCTCCCATGTGCTTACTGCCTCCCATGTGCTTACTGCCTCCCATGTGCTTACTGCCTCCCATGTGCTTACTGCCTCCCATGTGCTTACTGCCTCCCATGTGCTTACTGCCTCCCATGTGCTTACTGCCTCCCATGTGCTTACTGCCTCCCATGTGCTTACTGCCTCCCATGTGCTTACTGCCTCCCATGTGCTTACTGCCTCCCATGTGCTTACTGCCTCCCATGTGCTTACTGCCTCCCATGTGCTTACTGCCTCCCATGTGCTTACTGCCTCCCATGTGCTTACTGCCTCCCATGTGCTTACTGCCTCCCATGTGCTTACTGCCTCCCATGTGCTTACTGCCTCCCATGTGCTTACTGCCTCCCATGTGCTTACTGCCTCCCATGTGCTTACTGCCTCCCATGTGCTTACTGCCTCCCATGTGCTTACTGCCTCCCATGTGCTTACTTGCCTCCCATGTGCTTACTGCCTCCCATGTGCTTGAACTACTGCCTCCCATGTGCTTACTGCCTCCCATGTGCTTACTGGCTCCCCATGTGCTTACTCTGCCTCCCATGTGACTACTGCCGTCCCATGTGCTTACTGCCTCCCATGTGCTTACTGACGCACTCCCATGTGCTTACTGCCTCCCATGTGCTTTACTGGCCTCCATGTGCTTACTGCCTCCCATGTGCTTACTGCCTCCCATGTGCCTTACTGCCTCCCATGTGCTTACTGCCTCCCATGTGCTTACTGCCTCCCATGTGCTTACTGCCTCCCATGTGCTTACTGCCTCCCATGTGCTTACTGCCTCCCATGTGCTTACTGCCTCCCATGTGCTTACTGCCTCCCATGTGCTTACTGCCTCCCATGTGCTTACTGCCTCCCCCATGTGCTTACTCTGCCTCCCATGTGCTTACTGCCTCCCATGTGCTTACTGCCTCCCATGTGCTTACTGCCTCCCATGTGCTTACCTGCCTCCCATGTGCTTACTGCCTTCCCATTTGCTTACTGCCTCCCATGTGCTTACTGCCTCCATGTGCTTACTGCCCTCCATGTGCTTAGCATGCACTCCCATGTGCTTACTGCCTCCCATGTGCTTACTGCCTCCCATGTGCTTACTGCCTCCCATGTGCTTACTGCCTCCCATGTGCTTACTGCCTCCCATGTGCTTACTGCCTCCCATGTGCTTACTGCCTCCCATGTGCTTACTGCCTCCCATGTGCTTACTCTGCCTCCCATGTGCTTACTTGCCTCCCATGTGCTTACTGCCTCCAATGTGCTTACTGCCTCCCATGTGCTTACTGCCTCCATGTGCTTACTGCCTCGCCTGGCTTACCCTGCCTCCCATGTGCTTACTGCCTCCCTGTGCTTACTGCCTCCCATGTGCTTACTGCCTCCCATGTGCTTACGCCTCCTGTGCTTACATGCCTCCCATGTGCTTACTGCCTCCCATGTGCTTACTGCCTCCCATGTGCTTACTGCCGTCCCATGTGCTTACTGCCTCCCATGTGCTTACTGCCGTCCATGTGCTTACTGCTCCATGTGCTTACTACTGCCTCCCATGTGCGTTAACTGCCGTCCCATGTGCTTACTGCCTCCATGTGCTTGCCATGTGCTTACTGCCTCCCATGTGCTTACCTGCCTCCCATGTGCTTACTGCCTCCCATGTGCCTTACTGCCTCCCATGTGCTTACTGCCTCCCATGTGCTTACTGCCTCCCATGTGCTTACTGCCTCCCATGTGCTTACTGCCTCCCATGTGCTTACTGCCTCCCATGTGCTTACTGCCTCCCATGTGCTTACTGCCTCCCATGTGCTTACTGCCTCCCATGTGCTTACTGCCTCCCATGTGCTTACTGCCTCCCATGTGCTTACTGCCTCCCATAGTGCTTACTGCCTCCCATGTGCTTACTGCCTCCCATGTGCTTACTGCCTCCCATGTGCTTACTGCCTCCCATGTGCTTACTGCCTCCCATGTGCTTACTGCCTCCCATGTGCTTACTGCCTCCCATGTGCTTACTGCCTCCCATGTGCTTACTGCCTCCCATGTGCTTACTGCCCTCCCATGTGCTTACTGCCTCCCATGTGCTTACTTGCCTCCATGTGCTTACTGCCTCCCATGTTGCTTACTGCCTCCCATGTGCTTACTGCCTCCCATGTGCTTACTGCCTCCCATGTGCTTACTGCCTCCCATGTGCTTACTGCCTCCCATGTGCTTACTGCCTCCCATGTGCTTACTGCCTCCCATGTGCTTACTGCCTCCCATGTGCTTACTGCCTCCCATGTGCTTACTGCCTCCCATGTGCTTACTGCCTCCCATGTGCTTACTGCCTCCCATGTGCTTACTGCCTCCCATGTGCTTACTGCCTCCCATGTGCTTACTGCCTCCCATGTGCTTACTGCCTCCCATGTGCTTACTGCCTCCCATGTGCTTACTGCCTCCCATGTGCTTACTGCCTCCCATGTGCTTACTGCCTCCCATGTGCTTACTGCCTCCCATGTGCTTACTGCCTCCCATGTGCTTACTGCCTCCCATGTGCTTACTGCCTCCCATGTGCTTACTGCCTCCCATGTGCTTACTGCCTCCCATGTGCTTACTGCCTCCCATGTGCTTACTGCCTCCCATGTGCTTACTGCCTCCCATGTGCTTACTGCCTCCCATGTGCTTACTGCCTCCCATGTGCTTACTGCCTCCCATGTGCTTACTGCCTCCCATGTGCTTACTGCCTCCCATGTGCTTACTGCCTCCCATGTGCTTACTGCCTCCCATGTGCTTACTGCCTCCCATGTGCTTACTGCCTCCCATGTGCTTACTGCCTCCCATGTGCTTACTGCCTCCCATGTGCTTACTGCCTCCCATGTGCTTACTGCCTCCCATGTGCTTACTGCCTCCCATGTGCTTACTGCCTCCCATGTGCTTACTGCCTCCCATGTGCTTACTGCCTCCCATGTGCTTACTGCCTCCCATGTGCTTACTGCCTCCCATGTGCTTACTGCCTCCCATGTGCTTACTGCCTCCCATGTGCTTACTGCCTCCCATGTGCTTACTGCCTCCCATGTGCTTACTGCCTCCCATGTGCTTACTGCCTCCCATGTGCTTACTGCCTCCCATGTGCTTACTGCCTCCCATGTGCTTACTGCCTCCCATGTGCTTACTGCCTCCCATGTGCTTACTGCCTCCCATGTGCTTACTGCCTCCCATGTGCTTACTGCCTCCCATGTGCTTACTGCCTCCCATTGTGCTTACTGCCTCCCATGTGCTTACCTGCCTCCCATGTGCTTACTGCCTCCCATGTGCTTACTGCCTCCCATGTGCTTACTGCCTCCCATGTGCTTACTGCCTCCCATGTGCTTACTGCCTCCCATGTGGCTTACTGCCTCCCATGTGCTTACTGCCTCCCATGTGCTTACTGCCTCCCATGTGCTTACTGCCTCCCATGTGCTTACTGCCTCCCATGTGCTTACTGCCTCCCATGTGCTTACTGCCTCCCATGTGCTTACCTCCTCCCATGTGCTTACTGCCTCCCATGTGCTTACTGCCTCCCATGTGCTTTACTGCCTCCCATGTGCTTACTGCCTCCCATGTGCTTCTACTGCCTCCCATGTGCTTACTGCCTCCCATGTGCTTACTGCCTCCCATGTGCTTACTGCCTCCCATGTGCTTACTGCCTCCCATGTGCTTACTGCCTCCATGTGCTTACTGCCTCCCATGTGCTTACTGCCTCCCATGTGCTTACTGCCTCCCATGTGCTTACTGCCTCCCATGTGCTTACTGCCTCCCATGTGCTTACTGCCTCCCATGTGCTTACTGCCTCCCATGTGCTTACTGCCTCCCATGTGCTTACTGCCTCCCATGTGCTTACTGCCTCCCATGTGCTTACTGCCTCCCATGTGCTTACTGCCTCCCATGTGCTTACTGCCTCCCATGTGCTTACTGCCTCCCATGTGCTTACTGCCTCCCATGTGCTTACTGCCTCCCATGTGCTTACTGCCTCCCATGTGCTTACTGCCTCCCATGTGCTTACTGCCTCCCATGTGCTTACTGCCTCCCATGTGCTTACTGCCTCCCATGTGCTTACTGCCTCCCATGTGCTTACTGCCTCCCATGTGCTTACTGCCTCCCATGTGCTTACTGCCTCCCATGTGCTTACTGCCTCCCATGTGCTTACTGCCTCCCATGTGCTTACTGCCTCCCATGTGCTTACTGCCTCCCATGTGCTTACTGCCTCCCATGTGCTTACTGCCTCCCATGTGCTTACTGCCTCCCATGTGCTTACTGCCTCCCATGTGCTTACTGCCTCCCATGTGCTTACTGCCTCCCATGTGCTTACTGCCTCCCATGTGCTTACTGCCTCCCATGTGCTTACTGCCTCCCATGTGCTTACTGCCTCCCATGTGCTTACTGCCTCCCATGTGCTTACTGCCTCCCATGTGCTTACTGCCTCCCATGTGCTTACTGCCTCCCATGTGCTTACTGCCTCCCATGTGCTTACTGCCTCCCATGTGCTTACTGCCTCCCATGTGCTTACTGCCTCCCATGTGCTTACTGCCTCCCATGTGCTTACTGCCTCCCATGTGCTTACTGCCTCCCATGTGCTTACTGCCTCCCATGTGCTTACTGCCTCCCATGTGCTTACTGCCTCCCATGTGCTTACTGCCTCCCATGTGCTTACTGCCTCCCATGTGCTTACTGCCTCCCATGTGCTTACTGCCTCCCATGTGCTTACTGCCTCCCATGTGCTTACTGCCTCCCATGTGCTTACTGCCTCCCATGTGCTTACTGCCTCCCATGTGCTTACTGCCTCCCATGTGCTTACTGCCTCCCATGTGCTTACTGCCTCCCATGTGCTTACTGCCTCCCATGTGCTTACTGCCTCCCATGTGCTTACTGCCTCCCATGTGCTTACTGCCTCCCATGTGCTTACTGCCTCCCATGTGCTTACTGCCTCCCATGTGCTTACTGCCTCCCATGTGCTTACTGCCTCCCATGTGCTTACTGCCTCCCATGTGCTTACTGCCTCCCATGTGCTTACTGCCTCCCATGTGCTTACTGCCTCCCATGTGCTTACTGCCTCCCATGTGCTTACTGCCTCCCATGTGCTTACTGCCTCCCATGTGCTTACTGCCTCCCATGTGCTTACTGCCTCCCATGTGCTTACTGCCTCCCATGTGCTTACTGCCTCCCATGTGCTTACTGCCTCCCATGTGCTTACTGCCTCCCATGTGCTTACTGCCTCCCATGTGCTTACTGCCTCCATGTGCTTACTGCCTCCCATGTGCTTACTGCCTCCCATGTGCTTACTGCCCTCCCATGTGCTTACTGCCTCCCATGTGCTTACTGCCTCCCATGTGCTTACTGCCTCCCATGTGCTTACTGCCTCCATGTGCTTACTGCCATCCCATGTGCTTACTTGCCTCCCATGTGCTTACTGCCTCCCATGTGCTTACTGCCTCCCATGTGCTTACTGCCTCCCATGTGCTTACTGCCTCCCATGTGCTTACTGCCTCCCATGTGCTTCTGCCTCCCATGTGCTTACTGCCTCACCATGTGCTTACTTGCCTCCCATGTGCTTACTGCCTCCCATGTGCTTACTGCCTCCGCATGTGCTTACTGCCTCCCATGTGCTTACTGCCTCCCATGTGCTTACTGCCTCCCATGTGCTTACTTACTGCCTCCCATGTGCTTACTGGCCTCCCATGTGCTTACTGCCTCCATGTGCTTACTGCCGTCCCATGTGCTTACTGCCTCCCATGTGCTTACTGCCTCCCATGTGCTTACTGCCTCCCATGTGCTTACTGCCTCCCATGTGCTTACTGCCTCCCATGTGCTTACTGCCTCCCATGTGCTTACTGCCTCCCATGTGCTTACTGCCTCCCATGTGCTTACTGCCTCCCATGTGCTTACTGCCTCCCATGTGCTTACTGCCTCCCATGTGCTTACTGCCTCCCATGTGCTTACTGCCTCCCATGTGCTTACTGCCTCCCATGTGCTTACTGCCTCCCATGTGCTTACTGCCTCCCATGTGCTTACTGCCTCCCATGTGCTTACTGCCTCCCATGTGCTTACTGCCTCCCATGTGCTTACTGCCTCCCATGTGCTTACTGCCTCCCATGTGCTTACTGCCTCCCATGTGCTTACTGCCTCCCATGTGCTTACTGCCTCCCATGTGCTTACTGCCTCCCATGTGCTTACTGCCTCCCATGTGCTTACTGCCTCCCATGTGCTTACTGCCTCCCATGTGCTTACTGCCTCCCATGTGCTTACTGCCTCCCATGTGCTTACTGCCTCCCATGTGCTTACTGCCTCCCATGTGCTTACTGCCTCCCATGTGCTTACTGCCTCCCATGTGCTTACTGCCTCCCATGTGCTTACTGCCTCCCATGTGCTTACTGCCTCCCATGTGCTTACTGCCTCCCATGTGCTTACTGCCTCCCATGTGCTTACTGCCTCCCATGTGCTTACTGCCTCCCATGTGCTTACTGCCTCCCATGTGCTTACTGCCTCCCATGTGCTTACTGCCTCCCATGTGCTTACTGCCTCCCATGTGCTTACTGCCTCCCATGTGCTTACTGCCTCCCATGTGCTTACTGCCTCCCATGTGCTTACTGCCTCCCATGTGCTTACTGCCTCCCATGTGCTTACTGCCTCCCATGTGCTTACTGCCTCCCATGTGCTTACTGCCTCCCATGTGCTTACTGCCTCCCATGTGCTTACTGCCTCCCATGTGCTTACTGCCTCCCATGTGCTTACTGCCTCCCATGTGCTTACTGCCTCCCATGTGCTTACTGCCTCCCATGTGCTTACTGCCTCCCATGTGCTTACTGCCTCCCATGTGCTTACTGCCTCCCATGTGCTTACTGCCTCCCATGTGCTTACTGCCTCCCATGTGCTTACTGCCTCCCATGTGCTTACTGCCTCCCATGTGCTTACTGCCTCCCATGTGCTTACTGCCTCCCATGTGCTTACTGCCTCCCATGTGCTTACTGCCTCCCATGTGCTTACTGCCTCCCATGTGCTTACTGCCTCCCATGTGCTTACTGCCTCCCATGTGCTTACTGCCTCCCATGTGCTTACTGCCTCCCATGTGCTTACTGCCTCCCATGTGCTTACTGCCTCCCATGTGCTTACTGCCTCCCATGTGCTTACTGCCTCCCATGTGCTTACTGCCTCCCATGTGCTTACTGCCTCCCATGTGCTTACTGCCTCCCATGTGCTTACTGCCTCCCATGTGCTTACTGCCTCCCATGTGCTTACTGCCTCCCATGTGCTTACTGCCTCCCATGTGCTTACTGCCTCCCATGTGCTTACTGCCTCCCATGTGCTTACTGCCTCCCATGTGCTTACTGCCTCCCATGTGCTTACTGCCTCCCATGTGCTTACTGCCTCCCATGTGCTTACTGCCTCCCATGTGCTTACTGCCTCCCATGTGCTTACTGCCTCCCATGTGCTTACTGCCTCCCATGTGCTTACTGCCTCCCATGTGCTTACTGCCTCCCATGTGCTTACTGCCTCCCATGTGCTTACTGCCTCCCATGTGCTTACTGCCTCCCATGTGCTTACTGCCTCCCATGTGCTTACTGCCTCCCATGTGCTTACTGCCTCCCATGTGCTTACTGCCTCCCATGTGCTTACTGCCTCCCATGTGCTTACTGCCTCCCATGTGCTTACTGCCTCCCATGTGCTTACTGCCTCCCATGTGCTTACTGCCTCCCATGTGCTTACTGCCTCCCATGTGCTTACTGCCTCCCATGTGCTTACTGCCTCCCATGTGCTTACTGCCTCCCATGTGCTTACTGCCTCCCATGTGCTTACTGCCTCCCATGTCGCTTACTGCCTCCCATGTGGCTTACTGCCTCCCATGTGCTTACTGGCCTCCCATGTGCTTACTGCCTCCCATGTGCTTACTGCCTCCCATGTGCTTACTGCCTCCCATGTGCTTACTGCCTCCTATGTGCTTACTGCCTCCCATGTGCTTACTGCCTCCCATGTGCTTACTGCCTCCATGTGCTTACTGCCTCCCATGTGCTTACTGCCTCCCATGTGCTTACTGCCTCCCATGTGCTTACTGCCTCCCATGTGCTTACTGCCTCCCATGTGGCTTACTGCCTCCCATGTGCTTACTGCCTCCCATGTGCTTACTGCCTCCCATGTGCTACTGCCTCCCATGTGCTTACTGCCTCCCATGTGCTTACTGCCTCCCATGTGCTTACTGCCTCCCATGTGCTTACTGCCTCCCATGTGCTTACTGCCTCCCATGTGCTTACTGCCTCCCATGTGCTTACTGCCTCCCATGTGCTTACTGCCTCCCATGTGCTTACTGCCTCCCATGTGCTTACTGCCTCCCATGTGCTTACTGCCTCCCATGTGCTTACTGCCTCCCATGTGCTTACTGCCTCCCATGTGCTTACTGCCTCCCATGTGCTTACTGCCTCCCATGTGCTTACTGCCTCCCATGTGCTTACTGCCTCCCATGTGCTTACTGCCTCCCATGTGCTTACTGCCTCCCATGTGCTTACTGCCTCCCATGTGCTTACTGCCTCCCATGTGCTTACTGCCTCCCATGTGCTTACTGCCTCCCATGTGCTTACTGCCTCCCATGTGCTTACTGCCTCCCATGTGCTTACTGCCTCCCATGTGCTTACTGCCTCCCATGTGCTTACTGCCTCCCATGTGCTTACTGCCTCCCATGTGCTTACTGCCTCCCATGTGCTTACTGCCTCCCATGTGCTTACTGCCTCCCATGTGCTTACTGCCTCCCATGTGCTTACTGCCTCCCATGTGCTTACTGCCTCCCATGTGCTTACTGCCTCCCATGTGCTTACTGCCTCCCATGTGCTTACTGCCTCCCATGTGCTTACTGCCTCCCATGTGCTTACTGCCTCCCATGTGCTTACTGCCTCCCATGTGCTTACTGCCTCCCATGTGCTTACTGCCTCCCATGTGCTTACTGCCTCCCATGTGCTTACTGCCTCCCATGTGCTTACTGCCTCCCATGTGCTTACTGCCTCCCATGTGCTTACTGCCTCCCATGTGCTTACTGCCTCCCATGTGCTTACTGCCTCCCATGTGCTTACTGCCTCCCATGTGCTTACTGCCTCCCATGTGCTTACTGCCTCCCATGTGCTTACTGCCTCCCATGTGCTTACTGCCTCCCATGTGCTTACTGCCTCCCATGTGCTTACTGCCTCCCATGTGCTTACTGCCTCCCATGTGCTTACTGCCTCCCATGTGCTTACTGCCTCCCATGTGCTTACTGCCTCCCATGTGCTTACTGCCTCCCATGTGCTTACTGCCTCCCATGTGCTTACTGCCTCCCATGTGCTTACTGCCTCCCATGTGCTTACTGCCTCCCATGTGCTTACTGCCCTCCCATGTGCTTACTGCCTCCCATGTGCTTACTGCCTCCCATGTGCTTACGGCCTCCCATGTGCTTACTGCCTCCATTTACCCCATGTGCTTACTGCCTCCCATGTGCTTACTGCCTCCCAGTGTCTTACGCCTCCCCTGTGCTTACTGCCTCCCAGTGCTTACTGCCTCCATGTGCTTACTGCCTCCCATGTGCTTACTGCCTCCATGTGCTTACTGCCTCCCATGTGCTTACTGCCTCCCATGTGCTTACTGCCTCCCATGTGCTTACTGCCCTCCCATGTGCTTACTGCCTCCCATGTGCTTACTGCCTCCCATGTGCTTACTGCCTCCATGTGCTTACTGCCTCCCATGTGCTTACTGCCTCCCATGTGCTTACTGCCTCCCATGTGCTTACTGCCTCCCATGTGCTTACTGCCTCCCATGTGCTTACTGCCTCCCATGTGCTTACTGCCTCCCATGTGCTTACTGCCTCCCATGTGCTTACTGCCTCCCCATGTGCTTACTGCCTCCCATGTGCTTAATGCCTCCCATGTTGCTTACTGCCTCATGTGCTTACTGCCTCCCATGTGCTTACTGCCTCCCATGTGCTTACTGCCTCCATGTGCCTCCCATGTGCTTACTGCCTCCCATGTGCTTACTTGCCTCCCATGTGCTTACTGCCTCCCATGTGCCTTACTGCCTCCCATTGTGCTTACTGCCTCCCATGTGCTACTGACTCCCATGTGCTTACTGCCTCCATGTGCTTACTGCCTCCCATGTGCTTACTGCTCCCATGTGCTTACTGCTCCCATGTGCTTACTGCCTCCCATGTGCCTTACTGCCTCCCATGTGCTTACTGCCTCCCATGGTGCTTACTGCCTCCCATGTGCTTACTGCCTCCCATGTGCTTACTGCCTCCCATGTGCTTACTGCCTCCCATGTGCTTACTGCCTCCCATGTGCTTACTGCCTCCATGTGCTTACTGCCTCCCATGTGCTTACTGCCTCCCATGTGCTTACTGCCTCCCATGTGGCTTACTGCCTCCCATGTGCTTAAGTGCCTCCCATGTGCTTACTGCCTCCCATGTGCTTACTGCCTCCCATGTGCTTACTGCCTCCATGTGCTTACTGCCTCCCATGTGCTTACTGCCTCCCATGTGCTTACTGCCTCCCATGTGCTTACTGCCTCCCATGTGCTTACTGCCTCCCATGTGCTTACATGACTCCCATGTGCTTACTGCCTCCCATGTGCTTACTGCCTCCCATGTGGCTTACTTGCCTCCCATGTGCTTACTGCCTCCCATGTGCTTACTGCCTCCCATGTGCTTACATGCCATCCATGTGCTTACTGCCTCCCATGTGCTGACTGCACTCCCATGTGCTTACTGCCTCCCATGTGCTTACTGCCTCCATGTGCGTACTGCCTCCATGTGCTTACTGCCTCCCATGTGCTTACTGCCTCCCATGGCTTACTGCCTCCCATGTGCTTACTGCCTCCCATGTGCTTACTGCCTCCCATGTGCTTACTGCCTCCCATGTGCTTACTGCCTCCCATGTGCTTACTGCCTCCCATGTGCTTCCTGCCTCCCATGTGGCTTACTGCCTCCGCATGTGCTTACTGCCTCCCATGTGCTTACTCCTCCCATGTGCTTACTGCCTCCCATGTGCTTACTGCCTCCCATGTGCTTACTGCCTCCCATGTGCTTACTGCCTCCATGTGCTTACTGCCTCCCATGTGCTTAGCCTCCATGCCTCCCATGTGCTTACTGCCTCCCATGTGCTTACTGCCTCCCATGTGCTTACTGCCTCCCATGTGCTTACTGCCTCCCATGTGCTTACTGCCTCCCATGTGCTTACTGCCTCCCATGTGCTTACTGCCTCCCATGTGCTTACCTGCCTCCCATGTGCTTACTGCCTACCCATGTGCTTACTGCCTCCCATGTGCTTACTGCCTCCCATGTGCTTACTGCCTCCCATGTGCTTACTGCCTCCATGTGCTTACTGCCTCCCATGTGCCTTACTGCCTCCCATGTGCTTACTGCCTCCCATGTGCTTACTGCCTCCCATGTGCTTACTGCCTCCCATGTGCTTACTGCCTCCCATGTGCTTACTGCCTCCCATGTGCTTACTGCCTCCCATGTGCTTACTGCCTCCCATGTGCTTACTGCCTCCCATGTGCTTACTGCCTCCATGTGCTTACTGCCTCCATGTGCTTACTGCCTCCAATGTGCTTACTGCCTCCCATGTGCTTACTGCCTCCCATGTGCTTACTGCCTCCCATGTGCTTACTGCCTCCCATGTGCTTACTGCCTCCCATGTGCTTACTTGCCTCCCATGTGCTTACTGCCTCCCATGTGCTTACTTCTGCCTCCCATGTGCTTACTGCCTCCCATGTCTTACTGCCTCCCATGTGCTTACCTCTGCCTCCATGTGCTTCCTACTAGCTCTACTCCATGTGCTTACTGCCTCCCATGTGCTTACTGCCTCCCATGTGCTTACTGCCTCCCATGTGCTTACTGCCTCCCATGTGCTTACTGCCTCCCATGTGCTTACTGCCTCCCATGTGCTTACTGCCTCCCATGTGCTTACTGCCTCCCATGTGCTTACTGCCTCCCATGTGCTTACTGCCTCCCATGTGCTTACTGCCTCCCATGTGCTTACTGCCTCCCATGTGCTTACTGCCTCCCATGTGCTTACTGCCTCCCATGTGCTTACTGCTCCCTGTGCTTACTGCCTCCATGTGCTTACTGCCTCCCATGTGCTTACTGCCTCCCATGTGCTTACTGCCTCCCATGTGCTTACTGCCTCCCATGTGCTTACTGCCTCCCATGTGCTTACTGCCTCCCATGTGCTTACTGCCTCCCATGTGCTTACTGCCTCCCATGTGCTTACTGCTCCCATGTGCTTACTGCCTCCCATGTGCTTACTGCCTCCCATGTGCTTACTGCCTCCCATGTGCTTACTGCCTCCCAGTGGCCTCCCATGGCTTACTGCCTCCCATGTGCTTACTGCCTACTCTGCCTCCCATGTGCTTACTGCCTCCCATGTGCTTACTGCCTCCCATGTGCTTACTGCCTCCCATGTGCTTACTGCCTCCCATGTGCTTACTGCCTCCCATGTGCTTACTGCCTCCCATGTGCTTACTGCCTCCCATGTGCTTACTGCCTCCCATGTGCTTACTGCCTCCCATGTGCTTACTGCCTCCCATGTGCTTACTGCCTCCCATGTGCTTACTGCCTCCCATGTGCTTACTGCCTCCCATGTGCTTACTGCCTCCCATGTGCTTACTGCCTCCCATGTGCTTACTGCCTCCCATGTGCTTACTGCCTCCCATGTGCTTACTGCCTCCCATGTGCTTACTGCCTCCCATGTGCTTACTGCCTCCCATGTGCTTACTGCCTCCCATGTGCTTACTGCCTCCCATGTGCTTACTGCCTCCCATGTGCTTACTGCCTCCCATGTGCTTACTGCCTCCCATGTGCTTACTGCCTCCCATGTGCTTACTGCCTCCCATGTGCTTACTGCCTCCCATGTGCTTACTGCCTCCCATGTGCTTTACTGCCTCCCATGTGCTACTGCCTCCTCATGTGCTTACTGCCTCCCATGTGCTTACTGCCTCCAATGTGCTTACTGCCTCCCATGTGCTTACTGCCTCCCATGTGCTTACTGCCTCCCATGTGCTTACTGCCTCCATGTGCTTACTGCCTCCCATGTGCTACTGACTACCATGGCTACTGCCTCCCATGTGCTTACTGCCTCCCATGTGCTTACTGCCTCCCATGTTGCTTACTGCCTCCCATGTGCTTACTGCCTCCCATGTGCTACTGCCCTCCCATGTGCTTACTGCCTCCCATGTGCTTACGCTCCATATACTGCCTCCCATGTGCTTACTGCCTCCCATGTGCTTACTGCCTCCCATGTGCTTACTGCCTCCCATGTGCTTACTGCCTCCCATGTGCTTACTGCCTCCCATGTGCTTACTGCCTCCCATGTGCTTACTGCCTCCCATGTGCTTACTGCCTCCCATGTGCTTACTGCCTCCCATGTGCTTACTTGCCTCCCATGTGCTTACTGCCTCCCATGTGCTTACTGCCTCCCATGTGCTTACTGCCTCCCATGTGCTTACTGCCTCCCATGTGCTTACTGCCTCCCATGTGCTTACTGCCTCCCATGTGCTTACTGCCTCCCATGTGCTTACTGCCTCCCATGTGCTTACTGCCTCCCATGTGCTTACTGCCTCCCATGTGCTTACTGCCTCCCATGTGCTTACTGCCTCCCATGTGCTTACTGCCTCCCATGTGCTTACTGCCTCCCATGTGCTTACTGCCTCCCATGTGCTTACTGCCTCCCATGTGCTTACTGCCTCCCATGTGCTTACTGCCTCCCATGTGCTTACTGCCTCCCATGTGCTTACTGCCTCCCATGTGCTTACTGCCTCCCATGTGCTTACTGCCTCCCATGTGCTTACTGCCTCCCATGTGCTTACTGCCTCCCATGTGCTTACTGCCTCCCATGTGCTTACTGCCTCCCATGTGCTTACTGCCTCCCATGTGCTTACTGCCTCCCATGTGCTTACTGCCTCCCATGTGCTTACTGCCTCCCATGTGCTTACTGCCTCCCATGTGCTTACTGCCTCCCATGTGCTTACTGCCTCCCATGTGCTTACTGCCTCCCATGTGCTTACTGCCTCCCATGTGCTTACTGCCTCCCATGTGCTTACTGCCTCCCATGTGCTTACTGCCTCCCATGTGCTTACTGCCTCCCATGTGCTTACTGCCTCCCATGTGCTTACTGCCTCCCATGTGCTTACTGCCTCCCATGTGCTTACTGCCTCCCATGTGCTTACTGCCTCCCATGTGCTTACTGCCTCCCATGTGCTTACTGCCTCCCATGTGCTTACTGCCTCCCATGTGCTTACTGCCTCCCATGTGCTTACTGCCTCCCATGTGCTTACTGCCTCCCATGTGCTTACTGCCTCCCATGTGCTTACTGCCTCCCATGTGCTTACTGCCTCCCATGTGCTTACTGCCTCCCATGTGCTTACTGCCTCCCATGTGCTTACTGCCTCCCATGTGCTTACTGCCTCCCATGTGCTTACTGCCTCCCATGTGCTTACTGCCTCCCATGTGCTTACTGCCTCCCATGTGCTTACTGCCTCCCATGTGCTTACTGCCTCCCATGTGCTTACTGCCTCCCATGTGCTTACTGCCTCCCATGTGCTTACTGCCTCCCATGTGCTTACTGCCTCCCATGTGCTTACTGCCTCCCATGTGCTTACTGCCTCCCATGTGCTTACTGCCTCCATGTGCTTACTGCCTCCCATGTGCTTACTGCCTCCCATGTGCTTACTGCCTCCCATGTGCTTACTGCCTCCCATGTGCTTACTGCCTCCCATGTGCTTACTGCCTCCCATGTGCTTACTGCCTCCCATGTGCTTACTGCCTCCCATGTGCTTACTGCCTCCCATGTGCTTACTGCCTCCCATGTGCTTACTGCCTCCCATGTGCTTACTGCCTCCATGTGCTTACTGCCTCCCATGTGCTTACTGCCTCCCATGTGCTTACTGCCTCCCATGTGCTTACTGCCTCCCATGTGCTTACTGCCTCCCATGTGCTTACTGCCTCCCATGTGCTTACTGCCTCCCAGTGTGCTTACTGCCTCCCATGTGCTTACTGCCTCCCATGTGCTTACTGCCTCCCATGTGCTTACTGCCTCCCATGTGCTTACTGCCTCCCATGTGCTTACTGCCTCCCATGTGCTTACTGCCTCCCATGTGCTTACTGCCTCCCATGTGCTTACTGCCTCCCATGTGCTTACTGCCTCCCATGTGCTTACTGCCTCCCATGTGCTTACTGCCTCCCATGTGCTTACTGCCTCCCATGTGCTTACTGCCTCCCATGTGCTTACTGCCTCCATGTGCTTACTGCCTCCCATGTGCTTACTGCCTCCCATGTGCTTACTGCCTCCCATGTGCTTACTGCCTCCCATGTGCTTACTGCCTCCCATGTGCTTACTGCCTCCCATGTGCTTACTGCCTCCCATGTGCTTACTGCCTCCCATGTGCTTACTGCCTCCCATGTGCTTACTGCCTCCCGATGTGCTTACTGCTCCCATGTGCTTACTGCCTCCCATGTGCTTACTGCCTCCCATGTGCTTACTGCCTCCCATGTGCTTACTGCTCCCATGTGCTTACTGCCTCCCATGTGCTTACTGCCTCCCATGTGCTTACTGCCTCCCATGTGCTTACTGCCTCCCATGTGCTTACTGCCTCCCATGTGCTTACTGCCTCCCATGTGCTTACTGCCTCCCATGTGCTTACTGCCTCCCATGTGCTTACTGCCTCCCATGTGCTTACTGCCTCCCATGTGCTTACTGCCTCCCATGTGCTTACTGCCTCCCATGTGCTTACTGCCTCCCATGTGCTTACTGCCTCCCATGTGCTTACTGCCTCCCATGTGCTTACTGCCTCCCATGTGCTTACTGCCTCCCATGTGCTTACTGCCTCCCATGTGCTTACTGCCTCCCATGTGCTTACTGCCTCCCATGTGCTTACTGCCTCCCATGTGCTTACTGCCTCCCATGTGCTTACTGCCTCCCATGTGCTTACTGCCTCCCATGTGCTTACTGCCTCCCATGTGCTTACTGCCTCCCATGTGCTTACTGCCTCCCATGTGCTTACTGCCTCCCATGTGCTTACTGCCTCCCATGTGCTTACTGCCTCCCATGTGCTTACTGCCTCCCATGTGCTTACTGCCTCCCATGTGCTTACTGCCTCCCATGTGCTTACTGCCTCCCATGTGCTTACTGCCTCCCATGTGGCTTACTGCCTCCCATGTGCTTACTGCCTCCCATGTGCTTACTGCCTCCCATGGTGCTTACTGCCTCCCATGTGGCTTACTGCCTCCCATGTGCTTACTGCCTCCCATGTGCTTACTGCCTCCCATGTGCTTACTGCCTCCCATGTGCTTACTGCCTCCCATGTGCTTACTGCCTCCCATGTGCTTACTGCCTCCCATGTGCTTACTGCCTCCCATGTTGCTTACTGCCTCCCATGTGCTTACTGCCTCCCATGTGCTTACTGCCTCCCATGTGCTTACTGCCTCCCATGTGCTTACTGCCTCCCATGTGCTTACTGCCTCCCATGTGCTTACTGCCTCCCATGTGCTTACTGCCTCCCATGTGCTTACTGCCTCCCATGTGCTTACTGCCTCCCATGTGCTTACTGCCTCCCATGTGCTTACTGCCTCCCATGTGCTTACTGCCTCCCATGTGCTTACTGCCTCCCATGTGCTTACTGCCTCCCATGTGCTTACTGCCTCCCATGTGCTTACTGCCTCCCATGTGCTTACTGCCTCCCATGTGCTTACTGCCTCCCATGTGCTTACTGCCTCCCATGTGCTTACTGCCTCCCATGTGCTTACTGCCTCCCATGTGCTTACTGCCTCCCATGTGCTTACTGCCTCCCATGTGCTTACTGCCTCCCATGTGCTTACTGCCTCCCATGTGCTTACTGCCTCCCATGTGCTTACTGCCTCCCATGTGCTTACTGCCTCCCATGTGCTTACTGCCTCCCATGTGCTTACTGCCTCCCATGTGCTTACTGCCTCCCATGTGCTTACTGCCTCCCATGTGCTTACTGCCTCCCATGTGCTTACTGCCTCCCATGTGCTTACTGCCTCCCATGTGCTTACTGCCTCCCATGTGCTTACTGCCTCCCATGTGCTTACTGCCTCCCATGTGCTTACTGCCTCCCATGTGCTTACTGCCTCCCATGTGCTTACTGCCTCCCATGTGCTTACTGCCTCCCATGTGCTTACTGCCTCCCATGTGCTTACTGCCTCCCATGTGCTTACTGCCTCCCATGTGCTTACTGCCTCCCATGTGCTTACTGCCTCCCATGTGCTTACTGCCTCCCATGTGCTTACTGCCTCCCATGTGCTTACTGCCTCCCATGTGCTTACTGCCTCCCATGTGCTTACTGCCTCCCATGTGCTTACTGCCTCCCATGTGCTTACTGCCTCCCATGTGCTTACTGCCTCCCATGTGCTTACTGCCTCCCATGTGCTTACTGCCTCCCATGTGCTTACTGCCTCCCATGTGCTTACTGCCTCCCATGTGCTTACTGCCTCCCATGTGCTTACTGCCTCCCATGTGCTTACTGCCTCCCATGTGCTTACTGCCTCCCATGTGCTTACTGCCTCCCATGTGCTTACTGCCTCCCATGTGCTTACTGCCTCCCATGTGCTTACTGCCTCCCATGTGCTTACTGCCTCCCATGTGCTTACTGCCTCCCATGTGCTTACTGCCTCCCATGTGCTTACTGCCTCCCATGTGCTTACTGCCTCCCATGTGCTTACTGCCTCCCATGTGCTTACTGCCTCCCATGTGCTTACTGCCTCCCATGTGCTTACTGCCTCCCATGTGCTTACTGCCTCCCATGTGCTTACTGCCTCCCATGTGCTTACTGCCTCCCATGTGCTTACTGCCTCCCATGTGCTTACTGCCTCCCATGTGCTTACTGCCTCCCATGTGCTTACTGCCTCCCATGTGCTTACTGCCTCCCATGTGCTTACTGCCTCCCATGTGCTTACTGCCTCCCATGTGCTTACTGCCTCCCATGTGCTTACTGCCTCCCATGTGCTTACTGCCTCCCATGTGCTTACTGCCTCCCATGTGCTTACTGCCTCCCATGTGCTTACTGCCTCCCATGTGCTTACTGCCTCCCATGTGCTTACTGCCTCCCATGTGCTTACTGCCTCCCATGTGCTTACTGCCTCCCATGTGCTTACTGCCTCCCATGTGCTTACTGCCTCCCATGTGCTTACTGCCTCCCATGTGCTTACTGCCTCCCATGTGCTTACTGCCTCCCATGTGCTTACTGCCTCCCATGTGCTTACTGCCTCCCATGTGCTTACTGCCTCCCATGTGCTTACTGCCTCCCATGTGCGTTCTCCTTACCCCTTTCCATGCTTTTCTCTCATATATTCGTCACCGCTACCACCCATATTTCTATCTCCTATGTGCGTCACCCCTACCACCCATGTTTCTGTCTCTCTCCAGATTATTTATTGGTTTCAAAGACTGTCTCCCACCCCATACTCTCCCGACCATGTGCATTTTTTCCACCCCCCCACTCTGTGTTACCCGCAGGGCTTGAATTGGGGTGACTTCATATTCTTTGCCAATTGGGCGCTTGTTGTTGCCAGCTCTAAAGGTGTGAACCGACCCCAAAACAACCAGATTTTTGTTCAACGGAGCTTGATTGTTTCATGCATAGAAATTGAAGACCACTACAACAATCCCGCAATCTGCTGCACTTCTGACAAGTTGTTTCATTTCCCTTCACATTAGTTTCCATTTTCATTCGTGCACTTCCATCCCATTTCTATTCCTTCTTCCGAGCCTGTATTCTTTTCCATATCCATCCGATTCTACTGTGCATTCCCATTCCTCTCGCCATATCCATTTTCCATTCCCGTTCCCACCACCACTCCCATCACCATTCCAAACCCAAATCCCATACCCATTTCCCATTCCCCTTTCTCCACCATGGGATCAAAACCCGTTACTCGGGCTCACCAGTTTCTGTGAACTTGTGCTCTAATCCATCCTTCTCAAACCTATCCCTGCTCCCCTTCCCTTCATGTCTCTTCCCCTCCATGCAGCCATCTACCAGCTCACGGCAGGAATCCCCAAGGGCACCATCACCCACCGCATTGTGGCACTTCTTCATACCCTCTATAGCATCTTCGTCTCTACCTACATGGCCAGCGCCTTCTGCGTGAGTGTGCACACTAAAATTTTATGGACTCTCCAGTAAGTTTTGCTGCTGGGGCCGTAAAGCTCGCTCTGGGCCGCCACGCATCTCCGCTGCCCACTCCTTTATGCGCATTGCCTCTCGTTTGACTGTGTTTGCTATGGTTGTTCTTGCTGTCATCCCAATTCTTCTAATTATTTTGTCTATGGTGTACAAGCCTCGCCGACCAAAGACTGTCAAGACAGAGTAGCACATGACTGTTTAATGGGCATGAGATGGAAACCCAATCCTATTTATGAGCTTTAATACTATTGAGAAGCACCGCATGCCTCTGAACAGATTTGCTCCAGTCATATGCCACATGCCTCCATGGCAGTGAGACGTGTTTGTAAGCAGTCCCTGGAAATCAGCACAACGCATGACGTGGTGGCAAAAAATGGGAGGAAAGAAGGATAGGAGCCACTAGTACGGTAGTGTTTTGCCTGTTTGGAATGTTCTGTTTTCGTGGTTTCTTTTTGCAGCTGGTAACTAGGATTGTGAGTCGTCGTTAATGTTGTCGTCAATGCTGGAAGAATGTGAGAAGGGTACGAAACGGACACATCGAGAAATACTTGCTGTGCGAGCTGTTCGAGAAGTCTGAAAATTTGACCGCATTTGTTTTTGCGAAGGTCAATGGCGCTCACCATTAGTACGCACGCGACTGTACTAGTTCCGCGACCGTCCACTTCTCGCTCCAATCCGGTGACTCTCAATTCCGCAACGCGCGTGCGAAATAGTCGTACGCGGTCTACGGCCCTTTATTTTTCGCAAAACTCTTCGCCGCACATCGCCGACCTCAGCACATGCACCCACCGCAGCAAGCGGCGCGACTTCCGCCACAAGCGCGCTCTCAATTTGCAACGCTCCGCACCATGCGCCGCATCCCCTACCGAACCGTCAGCTCCGGCGAGGATTCCGTCTCTTGACGAACTCCGTCGAATGCTGGAGCAGACGGAGAGCGCAACGCTGACGGGAAAAGCAGAGACGGCGGGGAACGGAGGATCAGAAGGAGAAGGAATCGACGGTGAAGGCGGGAGAGTGTGGGAGAACGTGGCAAAGGCTTCTACGCGGCGGTTCGGGCAGAACGAAGGTGAAGGCGAGGAGGTGCGCGTGGTGCTGTATCGCGACGACGCCGCGTGGTGCCCCTTCTGCCAGCGCGTGTGGCTGCAGCTCGAGGAGAAGCGCATTCCGTACCGGTGAGAACGGATTCCGTGAAGGTGAGAACGGATTCCGTCAAGGTGAGAACGGATCCCGTCAAGGTGAGAACGGATTCCGTCAAGGTGAGAACGGATTCCGTCAAGGTGAGAACGGATTCCGTCAAGGTGAGAACGGATTCCGTACCGGTGAGATTCGTACCGGTGAGAACGGATTTCGTGAAGGTGAGAACGGATTCCGTGAAGGTGAGAACGGATTCCGTGAAGGTGAGAACGGATTTCGTAAGTTGAGAACGGATTTCGTGAAGGTGAGAACGGATTCCGTGAAGGTGAGAACGGATTTCGTAAGTTGAGAACGGATTTCGTGAAGGTGAGAACGGATTATGTGCAGGTGAAAAGAGTGTATTGCAAAGTGAGAGCGGATTGCGTTTGGGTGAGAGGGGACAAGCAAAGGCAAAGCGACTGAGTGAGAGTGTGGGTTCTGCTCGTCATCACTTGCACCCCTATTCTTTCATCTCCCTCCCTCTCCCCGCCTTCTTGTGGCGGGGTTCACTCTCCCTGCTCCCTGCTCCAATCCTCCCTACTTTGATTCTCCTCTGCATCTCTCCCTTCGCCTCTGCCTCTCTCCCCTCTCCTCTGTAGTTTTCCTCTCTCCTATCGTCCCCCTCAGGGCGCGGTGCATTTGACGCAAATCCCAACGTTTGCTTTTTTCAATCGACTTACCCCTTTCATAAGTTCGATTGTGTAGTAGAAATTTTGATTTCATGAGGTTCGAGTCGCGGGTCCGATTTCTGGTAAGTCAAAATGTGACCATCGAGGCTCGAAAAACAAAATTCGACCCTCTCCGAGCCGCGAATATACCATGTAGGTTACCCGATGTAGCCTACGTGGCTCTGGCGTCGTCCTCGAAATGTTTAGTGTAGATGTCGTCACGCTTCGCCAAGTTCGTGCGGCAGCTGAACTGAGCAGAAATGACCACATTCGTAAGCATGCTTCGAACATTAATTTGGTAATCTGCGAAGGCTTTTGCGACATTTACGAGGTCAGTAACCATATCAAGTTCGAACAGTTTCCAAACTTTGACTCAAAAGCACCGCGCCCTCAACATCATGCCCCTCGAATGCCGTTAGCATGGAGAGAATGTACCTCGAGTCCTACAGGCGAAATCTCTCAGCCTCGCCCTACTCCCCTCTCCCCTTGTCTCCCCCCTTCCATTCGCCCTGCCCGCTCCCAACCCTCCAACACCTTCAGGGTTGAGAAAATAAACCTCAAGTGCTACGGGCCAAAGCCTGATTGGTTCTTGGAGCTCGTGCCCAATGGCATGCTGCCAGCTGTCCAGGTGAGCGCGGTGGCTTGGTGGTGTGTGTGTTTGTTGGTGCAGCCTGTCGGCTATCTGGTTGTTTGTGAACGTGCTGTTTCCATTCTTCAGCTTTCAGGCGACTGTGCGGTTGGCTACCCCTCTCAAACCTCTCAACTCTCTCAAGCCTCTCAACACTGCACATATGCTCACATAGCATTGCTGCCCCGCCTACTCACCCACCTTTTTTTTTTTTTTTTTAATGTCTCATGTTTATGTTTATCCACCGATGTAACCTTTGAATCACGGAACAAGCAGTCTTTGTGACGTGATTATAACGCAACACATCACACCAATACCAGCTCCCGACACCTCCTGTCCCCCTCTATTGCCCCCCACCACCCAGCTAGACGGGCGAGTGATCACAGAGTCCGTGACTATAATGAAGGAGATCGAAGCCGCCTTCCCAAGTCACTCGCCGCTCCTCCCCCCTCCCTCTGATGCGCACGCAGCAGAGGCAGCAGAGCAGATGATGGGTCTGGAGAGGGGGTTGACTGGGGCGTGGCTCAAGTGGACCAAGGGAAAGGATGCCATGCGCTGGCTTGCCGGTGGTAGTGGGGCCGGAAGCAGCAGCAGTGGGGGTAGCAGCAGTGTGAGCAGTAGTGGCAGCAGTAGCAGTGGCGAGGGTGCAGGCGATGAGGAGGAGGGGGAGGGGCGGAGGGAGTTTGAGGCGGCAATGGATGCCATGGAAGAGGCTTTGGTGAAGAGCGGAGGGCCTTACTTCCTTGGGAAAGAGGTTTGTCTGTCGGCTTCACTCATTACACTCAATCTCGCTATTATGAAAGTCACTCTCATGTTCATCACAGTCACTCTTACATTGATCACATTCAATCTCACAGTAAGGCCATCAAATTATGCCAGACTTGAGCAGAATGGTGCGGTATTGACCTACCATGCTTTCATACCAAATACCATCCATTGTGCTTTCAAACTACTTAGCAAGTGAGACTATATTTATATATTCCCATGTACGGCAGCATATATACTTCTATCTGTCAGTGTGCCACACATACTGCTATCTGTCTCGCCAACTCATGTCTCCTGGCTCGTTTGCCTTTTATCTTTTAAACCTCCTCGTATGCTTCAAGTGCAAACTAGTCTCTGCCGCATTTCTGCCAGGAATGATCTCTCCATGCTTGCGTCCCTACTTCTCATGCGCTCCCAATTCTACCACCCATCCACACCTACCCCACCTCACATGTGGTTCTCCTCTCCCTTGTCGACGTGACCCACGTGCCTGCTGCACGTTCACCACAACATCCCTCCCTTCCGTTCCACACCCACCCCCGCCTCCCAGCAGTTCTCCCTTGTTGACGTGACCCACGCGCCTCTCCTGGAGCGATTCGCTGCCAGTGCACCGTACTGGAAAGGCCTCACAGTGCGGAACAACCCTCGCTGGCCGGCCCTCTCCCGCTGGTACGACGCCATGGATGCTCGACCCGCCTACCTCCCTCTCAAGTCTGACGATTTCTCCATCACCCACTCCCTTGTCCCACAAATTGGGCCGGTGATCGCGAGCACCAATCCAACGGCTGTGGCGCGCCGGGCTTTTATTGATGGATGGGATGGGACGGGTGCGTGGGATCTGCCGCTGGGGGAGGAGGAGACGGCGTGGGGGAGGGAGGATGGGACGGGGGGGGAGGGGCGGAGGGCGCAGAGAGAGGTGGTGCGGGCGATTGTGGGGAATCATGACAGGCTAGTGGCCTTTTGCCTGTGTTCTTTGGGGGATTCTGCACATGTTTCAGCCGCTACGACTACTGGGGATGCTGCTGGTGCCATGGGTGCTGGTGCCGCTTCTATGAGCAGCCAGACTCATGCGGACCAAGCTGAGCCACAGCAGCAGGCCATCACAGCGGAATGCCTTGCGCCAGCTGTCAGCGAGGCGTTGCGCCACGTGGCGCATGCACTGCTGGTCGGCACAGAAGCAGCAGGCCCATTCCCTGCCGTGTCCCAGTCACTTCAGATGATAAGTGGTGGGAGCAGAAGTGAGGATGTGAGGGCAGCAGGGGAAGAACGGTTGGTGATGGCTCTTGCGTATCTGAGGGATAGAGTTGGGGTGCCAAGGGACTTGAGTTATCCAGCTGCAAGGCAGCTCCGAGCTCACCTTCAGTGGGTCGTTCGGTCATTAGGATCCCCAATGTAGAGACGTAGATGACCTTATTGTTGATAACCATTATGATTCACGTGTAAGAGAGAAACTTTTAACCACTTGAACACTACACCAGGTTTTCTGTCATCGTTGTAACTTGTAGGTATTTACTTCTTCGAATGCGGTGAAACCATATTGTAGAAGCCCTTTAATATATGAAGCCTTTTCAGCAACCCTCCACTCCATGAGTTTCCTCATGTGGAGCAGTAGCCATTGCGATCATGATGATGCTTCAAAGAATGCCTGGCACACATTGCGAGTCAGAGACTCGTATCGGAGGTGAAGGCTGTGGTTTGAAAAGGCAAGGCGACTTTCAGCACGATCACGAGCTCAATTACAGGACGTTTCTGGGTTGCATAGAGCTGGGATAGCTCGAACCCATGGGAGGGGGGTGGGGGTGGGGGGAGGGAGAGAAACAAGGGACAGGAATCAGAGGAGGTTGCGTGTGTTGACACTGCTGGTGGAGGAGTCCTAGTGAGAGCGGATTTGACTGAATTGCGAGGGCTCCGATGCTCCCTCTGCTCCTCCACTGCGGAGACTCAGATCACTGTGACCAGTAAGTCGTCACCAAGTAGTGGTTCAGTAATTGAATGAAATATAACTTCCATGCATCTGCTCTCTTGCAAAAATGATGGCCCTGCCACCATGATAATATCGTCATCATGCCTTCATGGCCCTGCCACCATGATAACATGGTCATCATGCCTTCATGGCCCTGCCACCATGATAATATGGTCATCATGCCTTCATGGCCTTGCCACCATGATAATATGGCCATCATGCCTTCATGGCCTTGCCACCATGATAATATGGTCATCATGCCTTCATGGCCTTGCCACCATGATAATATGGCCATCATGCCTTCATTCTAGTCATCATCCTGGCAGCATACTATCCCTCTCCATCACCTTCCCGCGCGGCTGCCAGTCTCGCTGGCATGTTGCTGACCCGCATTGCCTGGCAGCAGTGGGAGGGGGCAAGGAGCAGGTGGCATCTGGGTGATGGGCTCGGGGTTTGTTGTAACTTGCTGGGCAATGTGTTTGAGGTTCCATGTGGGTGGTGGTATGGCTAGCTTCTGTTTCCAGAAAATTCGCAAGCTAGTTGTGTTTCAATCCCCACCAGGCCCTCAAATATATAGGTAAAACATGCTGAAACCCAGGATTTTATGGTGTTGGTAGGTGCTAGAGATTTCAAGATGTTGGTTGAATATGTCATGCACTTGCATGATGTTGTGCTTTTTAGCCTGTAATTTCAGAGTGTGGTGCCGCTCAATGCGGTGCCTCAGGGTATATCTGAGGACAGCACTGACCTGGTGTGACCTACCTGGCTTGGTCTGACCTACCTGGCTTGGTGTGACCTACCTGGCTTGGTGTAACCTGCCTGGCTTGGTGTGACCTACCTGGCTTGGTGTGACCTACCTGGCTTGGTGTGACCTACCTGGCTTGGTGTGACCTACCTGGCTTGGTGTGACCTACCTGGCTTGGTCTGACCTACCTGGCTTGGTCTGACCTACCTGGCTTGGTGTGACCTACCTGGCTTGGTCTGACCTACCTGGCTTGGTGTGACCTACCTGGCTTGGTGTGACCTACCTGGCTTGGTCTAACCAACCTGGCTTGGTCTGACCTACCTGGCTTGGTCTGACCTACCTGGCTTGGTGTAACCTATCTGGCTTGGTGTAACCTACCTGGCTTGGTCTAACCTGCCTGGCTTGGTGTGACCTACCTGGCTTGGTGTGACCTACCTGGCTTGGTGTGGCCTACCTGGCTTCGTGTGACCTACCTGGCTTGGTCTAACCTACCTGGCTTGGTCTGACCTACCTGGCTTGGTCTTCAGCCATATGATTAGGCGAGCAGCAGTCTAAAAGAAATCTTTAGCAAAGGATTAACAGTACGATCTGTTGTTGTTCCTGCTAAAAACAAGGAGTTTCAAGAAATCCGACTCAAAATTCCACTCAAAGATTAAAACGAGGCAAACTAGTTTCGGGTGACGGGACAGGCCCCAATCACACCTTCATCAGTGCAAGTGGAAATGAAAGAGAATGAGGAAGACGAAGCATTTGGGCAAACACTACGTCTCGGAAAAACAAAACTCCAGGTTGTTGCAACCGTGGCCAGAAATCTGGTTGGCCAATCCCTGACGACCTAGAAAAGTCCAAGTCTTCGGGGTCTTCATTCCTCGTGGCGTAACGTTGAAGTAACACAATCCGCCAGCTGGTGCTCAGGGAGCCTCGCGCGAACCAGTAACCTTTGCAGGTTACAACCAGTTTTCCAAGCAACAAAACAGCCCTCTATGTAAAATCCGTGTGTAAGTAGACGACTTTTGAGACGTCTCAAAACAACCCCTAGTCCGAGGCGAGCCGACACAGGTGTGTAGGTCGTCTTCAAGACTAGGGGTCCACGGTCAGAGGGAGGGGAGGTTTGTCGTTGGAGCTGGTTGGCGAGAGTGTTGGCGAAGAGTGTCGCACGATGTGCGAAAAGGACGCTGCTGAAGATCGGTCGCAGGAAAGCAGGGGGGTAACCCCGATCACGAAGCCGCCGGAAGAAAGCATGCTTCGTCGCTCGGAAGGTCGATGCTGATGTCGAACGTAGTACGTAACGTTGCAGCTCGGCACGAATGAATCCCTCCTTACAGTGTCGGGGGTGAAACGAGGAGAAGGGAAGGTATAGGTACCTATTCATCGGCTTCTGGAATGTACCGAAGTCCAGGATACCACACTCAGCAAAACGAGGCCCCTTAGAAAGAACCACGTCCAGAAAGTCTACCGAGTGATCTGAGATGTTCCACGTGATCCTGATGTTAGGATCCAAGCCGTTGAAGGTGCGCAGGTACTCCTCTAAATCTGCCCGCGTACCTGGCCAAAGAATCAGGCCATCGTCTATGTATCGGACGTGGTAACTTGGTGACATCCCAGTCCACCTTTCCCTCAGCAGCTCATCAAGGCGGCTCATGAAGAGTATGGCGAAGCAAACTGCGACCGGAGTTCCCATCGCTGTCCCTCGCACCTGTTGATAAACTCGGCCGTCAAACTCAACAAAGGAGTTTCTCATGACCCAACCCAGCAGGGCCATGAGTGGGGAGGAGAGCTGCGTCTGGTCCCTCATCAGAAAGCTACTAACTGCGTCGAGCCCTCAATCGATGGAAATGCTAGGATAGAGCGAGGTAACGTCGTACGTAGCCAGAAGAATGTTAGGCAGAAAGGCCGTTGATTCTAGCTTCGTCAGTAGCGAGAGGGAATCGCGTAGGTAGGTGGCGCGTTTCAGTACTAGCGGTCTTAATTGCGAATCTAGCCATCTGCTCGCATTAGTAGTAACCCATGAATGTGAGGCGGCGATCGGTCGTCCCACAGGTACTTTCTTATGGAGTTTCGGCAGGATGTAGAATGCCGCTGGGCGCCATCCACCAGGTGGTTTATCGAAAAAGTACTTCCACAGGCTGTCAGGAAAAGCAGGTCCCCATGTCGCTTTCAGCTCACTCAGCTGCCGTAGAACGTCCGGAGTCGGATCGTGACGAATCGGAAGGTAGACAGCGTCACTGAGATGTTCCATGCAGAGCGCGACGTAGTGGCTTCGATCCATCACCGTGATGCCGACGTTCTTATCAGCGGGTTTGATGACGATGTTGCGGTTCAGCGACAGGGAACGGATCGCCTCCCGAGCACTCCTCGAAAGATTGTGCCCACGGCGAGGACGAACCGTCTTCAACAGGAAAGATAGATCGGCTTGCGCCGACTTGAAGACCTGCTCCGGGACCACGTCCCCTTCGGGTCGCCAGTTGGGATTCCTCACACGGAAACGGGATGAGGACGACGACCCTTTATCCTTGAAGAAGAGACTAAGGGAGATCCGTCGGTGCAGTTGATCTAGATCCGCAGCGATAGAAAAGTTCCATGGAGGCGTAGGTATGAATTTGAGACCCATCCCGAGCGCCAAGGTCTCATCGCGAGACAAGACCTTAGAACTCAGGTTATGTACTCCACGATTCCGAACGCGTGACTGCGCCTGCCGTAAAGTCAGTCGTCCGAATCGCTGGAGCGCCAGATCCCTTATCGTTAGTTCTTGTGCGGCCCTTTTCCTGGGCCGCCGCCGCCGTTTTTTGGAACTTGGGCCTTGGTCGAGGATGCTTCTTGACCCTTCCCTCCGCCGTCGCCTTGAGATTTCACTTTCTTCTTGGCTTTCCCGCGCTTCCTCGTAGCCTTCGGTACATCTGCCTTGGCGCCAGAAGATTTCTGGTCCTTGGACGGGTCCGCCTTGGGCTTCGAAGACGCGGGGGCCGGCTTGGGATCCTGTGGTCCCATCGACAAGTTCTTCTTGAACTTCGCAGGAAGTTTCGCTTCGACGCTCGCTGTTATCTCCCTGCGCATCGTCTCCGCGGACTTCTTAACAGCTTTCTGAATCAGCTCGTCGATTGCCGGATCCGTCTCCATCTGTTCCATCTCTTCGGCAGCAGCAGCCTTCTTCAAATCCTCGGCTTCCTTTACCCTCTGCCTCTCCAGCTCTTGGATGACGATCTCATCCCTGGCGTTAGACACCTCCGACTTGGCCTTCTTGATACACAGACCCTTAATCTTCCGGAATCGCTCCTTCGCCGCATCAGACACGGTGAGCTCAGGATCGGTGGTAAGGCCTTTGATGTAGTCTTCGGTCTTAGTCGCCAAAGCGGTAAGGTGTGAAGAGGACGCCGCCAGGATCTCTTCAACCTCCAACTCCTTAGACTTGATGAAGTCTTGTTGAATGCGCATCTGATTCTCGTGATGAACCGACGCGACCGATGCAGCAGACTTTTCCCGCGTCAGAGGGTACTTGGTCTGAAACTCAACCGCTTTCGTGCGAATACTGTGCAAAATCACACCCTGCTCGTTGAGCGCCTTCATCTTCTTCAACTTCGACCTCGCCTTGAGGAGCGCCTTGAAGTCCTTTCGAAAATCCCTGACAGCCTTCAACGCCCAGCCCTTGAAAGGCTCCGGAATTGCGACGGGCGTATCTTGAACGGATGTCGGGTTGACAGCAGCAGCGGGAGAGTTAGTCGTCGCCGGCTCGTCATTCGAAATTTCCATCGCAGCAGCGGGGGGAGGATTTCCCGTATGCTTGTCTTGTGCTTGATCCCCACGGGTTGGTGCAGAATTCTCTCCACCCCCAGTTGTACGGGTACGTTTGCGGTAACCTGCGTACGTCTTGGAGGTGTGATCCGCCCCACGAGGAATTAGTGCAAGACTCGAATCTTCCAGACCGGCATCGCCCGTAGGAGTTGGGAGACCCCAAGTACCTTCAGCCATATGATTAGGCGAGCAGCAGTCTAAAAGAAATCTTTAGCAAAGGATTAACAGTACGATCTGTTGTTGTTCCTGCTAAAAACAAGGAGTTTCAAGAAATCCGACTCAAAATTCCACTCAAAGATTAAAACGAGGCAAACTAGTTTCGGGTGACGGGACAGGCCCCAATCACACCTTCATCAGTGCAAGTGGAAATGAAAGAGAATGAGGAAGACGAAGCATTTGGGCAAACACTACGTCTCGGAAAAACAAAACTCCAGGTTGTTGCAACCGTGGCCAGAAATCTGGTTGGCCAATCCCTGACGACCTAGAAAAGTCCAACTCTTCGGGGTCTTCATTCCTCGTGGCGTAACGTTGAAGTAACACAATCCGCCAGCTGGTGCTCAGGGAGCCTCGCGCGAACCAGTAACCTTTGCAGGTTACAACCAGTTTTCCAAGCAACAAAACAGCCCTCTATGTAAAATCCGTGTGTAAGTAGACGACTTTTGAGACGTCTCAAAAGTCACCTACCTGGCGTGGTCTGACCTACCTGGCTTGGTGTGACCTACCTGGCTTGGTGTGACCTACCTGGCTTGGTGTGACCTACCTGGCTTGGTCTGACCTACCTGGCTTGGTGTGACCTACCTGGCTTGGTGTGACCTACCTGGCTTGGTGTGACCTACCTGGCTTGGTCTAACCTACCTGGCTTGGTGTGAACTACCTGGCGTGGTCTGACCTACCTGGCTTGGTGTGACCTACCTGGCTTGGTGTGACCTACCTGGCTTGGTGTGACCTACCTGGCTTGGTCTAACCTACCTGGCTTGGTCTGACCTACCTGGCTTGGTGTGACCTACCTGGCTTGGTGTAACCTACCTGGCTTGGTGTAACCTACCTGGCGTGGTCTGATCTACCTGGCTTGGTCTGACCTACCTGGCTTGGTGTGACCTACCTGGCTTGGTGTGTCCTACCTGGCTTGGTGTGACCTACCTGGCTTGGTGTGACCTAACTGGCTTGGTGTGACCTACCTGGCTTGGTGTGAACTACCTGGCTTGGTCTGACCTACCTGGCTTGGTGTGACCTACCTGGCTTGGTGGTGTGTGTGTTTGTTGGTGCAGCCTGTCGGCTATCTGGTTGTTTGTGAACGTGCTGTTTCCATTCTTCAGCTTTCAGGCGACTGTGCGGTTGGCTACCCCTCTCAAACCTCTCAACTCTCTCAAGCCTCTCAATACTGCACATATGCTCACATAGCATTGCTGCCCCGCCTACTCACCCACCTTTTTTTTTTTTTTTTTTTAATGTCTCATGTTTATGTTTATCCACCGATGTAACCTTTGAATCACGGAACAAGCAGTCTTTGTGACGTGATTATAACGCAACACATCACACCAATACCAGCTCCCGACACCTCCTGTCCCCGTCTATTGCCCCCCACCACCCAGCTAGACGGGCGAGTGATCACAGAGTCCGTGACTATAATGAAGGAGATCGAAGCCGCCTTCCCAAGTCACTCGCCGCTCCTCCCCCCTCCCTCTGATGCGCACGCAGCAGAGGCAACAGAGCAGATGATGGGTCTGGAGAGGGGGTTGACTGGGGCGTGGCTCAAGTGGACCAAGGGAAAGGATGCCATGTGCTGGCTTGCCGGTGGTAGTGGGGCCGGAAGCAGCAGCAGTGGGGGTAGCAGCAGTGTGAGCAGTAGTGGCAGCAGTAGCAGTGGCGAGGGTGCAGGCGATGAGGAGGAGGGGGAGGGGCGGAGGGAGTTTGAGGCGGCAATGGATGCCATGGAAGAGGCTTTGGTGAAGAGCGGAGGGCCTTACTTCCTTGGGAAAGAGGTTTGTCTGTCGGCTTCACTCATTACACTCAATCTCGCTATTATGAAAGTCACTCTCATGTTCATCACAGTCACTCTTACATTGATCACATTCAATCTCACAGTAAGGCCATCAAATTATGCCAGACTTGAGCAGAATGGTGCGGTATTGACCTACCATGCTTTCATACCAAATACCATCCATTGTGCTTTCAAACTACTTAGCAAGTGAGACTATATTTATATATTCCCATGTACGGCAGCATATATACTTCTATCTGTCAGTGTGCCACACATACTGCTATCTGTCTCGCCAACTCATGTCTCCTGGCTCGTTTGCCTTTTATCTTTTAAACCTCCTCGTATGCTTCAAGTGCAAACTAGTCTCTGCCGCATTTCTGCCAGGAATGATCCCTCCATGCTTGCGTCCCTACTTCTCATGCGCTCCCAATTCTACCACCCATCCACACCTACCCCACCTCACATGTGGTTCTCCTCTCCCTTGTCGACGTGACCCACGTGCCTGCTGCACGTTCACCACAACATCCCTCCCTTCCGTTCCACACCCACCCCCGCCTCCCAGCAGTTCTCCCTTGTTGACGTGACCCACGCGCCTCTCCTGGAGCGATTCGCTGCCAGTGCACCGTACTGGAAAGGCCTCACAGTGCGGAACAACCCTCGCTGGCCGGCCCTCTCCCGCTGGTACGACGCCATGGATGCTCGACCCGCCTACCTCCCTCTCAAGTCTGACGATTTCTCCATCACCCACTCCCTTGTCCCGCAAATTGGGCCGGTGATCGCGAGCACCAATCCAACGGCTGTGGCGCGCCGGGCTTTTATTGATGGATGGGATGGGACGGGTGCGTGGGATCTGCCGCTGGGGGAGGAGGAGACGGCGTGGGGGAGGGAGGATGGGACGGGGGGGGAGGGGCGGAGGGCGCAGAGAGAGGTGGTGCGGGCGATTGTGGGGAATCATGACAGGCTAGTGGCCTTTTGCCTGTGTTCTTTGGGGGATTCTGCACATGTTTCAGCCGCTACGACTACTGGGGATGCTGCTGGTGCCATGGGTGCTGGTGCCGCTTCTATGAGCAGCCAGACTCATGCGGACCAAGCTGAGCCACAGCAGCAGGCCATCACAGCGGAATGCCTTGCGCCAGCTGTCAGCGAGGCGTTGCGCCACGTGGCGCATGCACTGCTGGTCGGCACAGAAGCAGCAGGCCCATTCCCTGCCGTGTCCCAGTCACTTCAGATGATAAGTGGTGGGAGCAGAAGTGAGGATGTGAGGGCAGCAGGGGAAGAACGGTTGGTGATGGCTCTTGCGTATCTGAGGGATAGAGTTGGGGTGCCAAGGGACTTGAGTTATCCAGCTGCAAGGCAGCTCCGAGCTCACCTTCAGTGGGTCGTTCGGTCATTAGGATCCCCAATGTAGAGACGTAGATGACCTTATTGTTGATAACCATTATGATTCACGTGTAAGAGAGAAACTTTTAACCACTTGAACACTACACCAGGTTTTCTGTCATCGTTGTAACTTGTAGGTATTTACTTCTTCGAATGCGGTGAAACCATATTGTAGAAGCCCTTTAATATATGAAGCCTTTTCAGCAACCCTCCACTCCATGAGTTTCCTCATGTGGAGCAGTAGCCATTGCGATCATGATGATGCTTCAAAGAATGCCTGGCACACATTGCGAGTCAGAGACTCGTATCGGAGGTGAAGGCTGTGGTTTGAAAAGGCAAGGCGACTTTCAGCACGATCACGAGCTCAATTACAGGACGTTTCTGGGTTGCATAGAGCTGGGATAGCTCGAACCCATGGGAGGGGGGTGGGGGTGGGGGGAGGGAGAGAAACAAGGGACAGGAATCAGAGGAGGTTGCGTGTGTTGACACTGCTGGTGGAGGAGTCCTAGTGAGAGCGGATTTGACTGAATTGCGAGGGCTCCGATGCTCCCTCTGCTCCTCCACTGCGGAGACTCAGATCACTGTGACCAGTAAGTCGTCACCAAGTAGTGGTTCAGTAATTGAATGAAATATAACTTCCATGCATCTGCTCTCTTGCAAAAATGATGGCCCTGCCACCATGATAATATCGTCATCATGCCTTCATGGCCCTGCCACCATGATAACATGGTCATCATGCCTTCATGGCCCTGCCACCATGATAATATGGTCATCATGCCTTCATGGCCTTGCCACCATGATAATATGGCCATCATGCCTTCATGGCCTTGCCACCATGATAATATGGTCATCATGCCTTCATGGCCTTGCCACCATGATAATATGGCCATCATGCCTTCATTCTAGTCATCATCCTGGCAGCATACTATCCCTCTCCATCACCTTCCCGCGCGGCTGCCAGTCTCGCTGGCATGTTGCTGACCCGCATTGCCTGGCAGCAGTGGGAGGGGGCAAGGAGCAGGTGGCATCTGGGTGATGGGCTCGGGGTTTGTTGTAACTTGCTGGGCAATGTGTTTGAGGTTCCATGTGGGTGGTGGTATGGCTAGCTTCTGTTTCCAGAAAATTCGCAAGCTAGTTGTGTTTCAATCCCCACCAGGCCCTCAAATATATAGGTAAAACATGCTGAAACCCGGGATTTTATGGTGTTGGTAGGTGCTAGAGATTTCAAGATGTTGGTTGAATATGTCATGCACTTGCATGATGTTGTGCTTTTTAGCCTGTAATTTCAGAGTGTGGTGCCGCTCAATGCGGTGCCTCAGGGTATATCTGAGGACAGCACTGACCTGGTGTGACCTACCTGGCTTGGTCTGACCTACCTGGCTTGGTGTGACCTACCTGGCTTGGTGTAACCTGCCTGGCTTGGTGTGACCTACCTGGCTTGGTGTGACCTACCTGGCTTGGTGTGACCTACCTGGCTTGGTGTGACCTACCTGGCTTGGTGTGACCTACCTGGCTTGGTCTGACCTACCTGGCTTGGTCTGACCTACCTGGCTTGGTGTGACCTACCTGGCTTGGTCTGACCTACCTGGCTTGGTGTGACCTACCTGGCTTGGTGTGACCTACCTGGCTTGGTCTAACCAACCTGGCTTGGTCTGACCTACCTGGCTTGGTCTGACCTACCTGGCTTGGTGTAACCTATCTGGCTTGGTGTAACCTACCTGGCTTGGTCTAACCTGCCTGGCTTGGTGTGACCTACCTGGCTTGGTGTGACCTACCTGGCTTGGTGTGGCCTACCTGGCTTCGTGTGACCTACCTGGCTTGGTCTAACCTACCTGGCTTGGTCTGACCTACCTGGCTTGGTCTTCAGCCATATGATTAGGCGAGCAGCAGTCTAAAAGAAACCTTTAGCAAAGGATTAACAGTACGATCTGTTGTTGTTCCTGCTAAAAACAAGGAGTTTCAAGAAATCCGACTCAAAATTCCACTCAAAGATTAAAACGAGGCAAACTAGTTTCGGGTGACGGGACAGGCCCCAATCACACCTTCATCAGTGCAAGTGGAAATGAAAGAGAATGAGGAAGACGAAGCATTTGGGCAAACACTACGTCTCGGAAAAACAAAACTCCAGGTTGTTGCAACCGTGGCCAGAAATCTGGTTGGCCAATCCCTGACGACCTAGAAAAGTCCAAGTCTTCGGGGTCTTCATTCCTCGTGGCGTAACGTTGAAGTAACACAATCCGCCAGCTGGTGCTCAGGGAGCCTCGCGCGAACCAGTAACCTTTGCAGGTTACAACCAGTTTTCCAAGCAACAAAACAGCCCTCTATGTAAAATCCGTGTGTAAGTAGACGACTTTTGAGACGTCTCAAAACAACCCCTAGTCCGAGGCGAGCCGACACAGGTGTGTAGGTCGTCTTCAAGACTAGGGGTCCACGGTCAGAGGGAGGGGAGGTTTGTCGTTGGAGCTGGTTGGCGAGAGTGTTGGCGAAGAGTGTCGCACGATGTGCGAAAAGGACGCTGCTGAAGATCGGTCGCAGGAAAGCAGGGGGGTAACCCCGATCACGAAGCCGCCGGAAGAAAGCATGCTTCGTCGCTCGGAAGGTCGATGCTGATGTCGAACGTAGTACGTAACGTTGCATCTCGGCACGAATGAATCCCTCCTTACAGTGTCGGGGGTGAAACGAGGAGAAGGGAAGGTATAGGTACCTATTCATCGGCTTCTGGAATGTACCGAAGTCCAGGATACCACACTCAGCAAAACGAGGCCCCTTAGAAAGAACCACGTCCAGAAAGTCTACCGAGTGATCTGAGATGTTCCACGTGATCCTGATGTTAGGATCCAAGCCGTTGAAGGTGCGCAGGTACTCCTCTAAATCTGCCCGCGTACCTGGCCAAAGAATCAGGCCATCGTCTATGTATCGGACGTGGTAACTTGGTGACATCCCAGTCCACCTTTCCCTCAGCAGCTCATCAAGGCGGCTCATGAAGAGTATGGCGAAGCAAACTGCGACCGGAGTTCCCATCGCTGTCCCTCGCACCTGTTGATAAACTCGGCCGTCAAACTCAACAAAGGAGTTTCTCATGACCCAACCCAGCAGGGCCATGAGTGGGGAGGAGAGCTGCGTCTGGTCCCTCATCAGAAAGCTACTAACTGCGTCGAGCCCTCGATCGATGGAAATGCTAGGATAGAGCGAGGTAACGTCGTACGTAGCCAGAAGAATGTTAGGCAGAAAGGCCGTTGATTCTAGCTTCGTCAGTAGCGAGAGGGAATCGCGTAGGTAGGTGGCGCGTTTCAGTACTAGCGGTCTTAATTGCGAATCTAGCCATCTGCTTGCATTAGTAGTAACCCATGAATGTGAGGCGGCGATCGGTCGTCCCACAGGTACTTTCTTATGGAGTTTCGGCAGGATGTAGAATGCCGCTGGGCGCCATCCACCAGGTGGTTTATCGAAAAAGTACTTCCACAGGCTGTCAGGAAAAGCAGGTCCCCATGTCGCTTTCAGCTCACTCAGCTACCGTAGAACGTCCGGAGTCGGATCGTGACGAATCGGAAGGTAGACAGCTGCGTCACTGAGATGTTCCATGCAGAGCGCGACGTAGTGGCTTCGATCCATCACCGTGATGCCGACGTTCTTATCAGCGGGTTTGATGACGATGTTGCGGTTCAGCGACAGGGAACGGATCGCCTCCCGAGCACTCCTCGAAAGATTGTGCCCACGGCGAGGACGAACCGTCTTCAACAGGAAAGATAGATCGGCTTGCGCCGACTTGAAGACCTGCTCCGGGACCACGTCCCCTTCGGGTCGCCAGTTGGGATTCCTCACACGGAAACGGGATGAGGACGACGACCCTTTATCCTTGAAGAAGAGACTAAGGGAGATCCGTCGGTGCAGTTGATCTAGATCCGCAGCGATAGAAAAGTTCCATGGAGGCGTAGGTATGAATTTGAGACCCATCCCGAGCGCCAAGGTCTCATCGCGAGACAAGACCTTAGAACTCAGGTTATGTACTCCACGATTCCGAACGCGTGACTGCGCCTGCCGTAAAGTCAGTCGTCCGAATCGCTGGAGCGCCAGATCCCTTATCGTTAGTTCTTGTGCGGCCCTTTTCCTGGGCCGCCGCCGCCGTTTTTTGGAACTTGGGCCTTGGTCGAGGATGCTTCTTGACCCTTCCCTCCGCCGTCGCCTTGAGATTTCACTTTCTTCTTGGCTTTCCCGCGCTTCCTCGTAGCCTTCGGTACATCTGCCTTGGCGCCAGAAGATTTCTGGTCCTTGGACGGGTCCGCCTTGGGCTTCGAAGACGCGGGGGCCGGCTTGGGATCCTGTGGTCCCATCGACAAGTTCTTCTTGAACTTCGCAGGAAGTTTCGCTTCGACGCTCGCTGTTATCTCCCTGCGCATCGTCTCCGCGGACTTCTTAACAGCTTTCTGAATCAGCTCGTCGATTGCCGGATCCGTCTCCATCTGTTCCATCTCTTCGGCAGCAGCAGCCTTCTTCAAATCCTCGGCTTCCTTTACCCTCTGCCTCTCCAGCTCTTGGATGACGATCTCATCCCTGGCGTTAGACACCTCCGACTTGGCCTTCTTGATACACAGACCCTTAATCTTCCGGAATCGCTCCTTCGCCGCATCAGACACGGTGAGCTCAGGATCGGTGGTAAGGCCTTTGATGTAGTCTTCGGTCTTAGTCGCCAAAGCGGTAAGGTGTGAAGAGGACGCCGCCAGGATCTCTTCAACCTCCAACTCCTTAGACTTGATGAAGTCTTGTTGAATGCGCATCTGATTCTCGTGATGAACCGACGCGACCGATGCAGCAGACTTTTCCCGCGTCAGAGGGTACTTGGTCTGAAACTCAACCGCTTTCGTGCGAATACTGTGCAAAATCACACCCTGCTCGTTGAGCGCCTTCATCTTCTTCAACTTCGACCTCGCCTTGAGGAGCGCCTTGAAGTCCTTTCGAAAATCCCTGACAGCCTTCAACGCCCAGCCCTTGAAAGGCTCCGGAATTGCGACGGGCGTATCTTGAACGGATGTTGGGTTGACAGCAGCAGCGGGAGAGTTAGTCGTCGCCGGCTCGTCATTCGAAATTTCCATCGCAGCAGCGGGGGGAGGATTTCCCGTATGCTTGTCTTGTGCTTGATCCCCACGGGTTGGTGCAGAATTCTCTCCACCCCCAGTTGTACGGGTACGTTTGCGGTAACCTGCGTACGTCTTGGAGGTGTGATCCGCCCCACGAGGAATTAGTGCAAGACTCGAATCTTCCAGACCGGCACTAAAAAGGACCACGAAATCAAAATCACGCAGACTGTTGATATTCACGTCCTTGTAATGGCCCCGATAACTTCGTACATTTTGAAAGACGAATTTCACACATGAAGATTGTTTTGAGATCACTTCAACTGATGTTGGATCCAAAACAAGAGGTCGCTCACGTAAGCGACACATTTCTTTTACAACGCGGGGATCGGTTCTTATGCAGGCTTCCGAAAAATTCGTTATGAATAACCGATTAGGACTGCGAAAGCGACTTAGAGCAACGTAGGCGCCTTGAGGAAATATTTTTTTCTCAAAATGCACAACTCCACCATCAAAAGTAGCGCCTTGACTTCGATGGAAACTAATCGCATTACTTGGTCGTAAAGGAAACTGCATTCGAGATATCATATCGTATCGTGAGTTGACAGAAAACGACTTCTCAATACGTTGTATAGGTGTCCAAGTTTGTTGAACTCCAATACATTTGGACATCAACGATTCAGATTTATTGCGAATGTTTTGCCCGACTTCATCATCGTCAAATTGAACCCATATGATCTCCATCACATGTTGGTCATTTTGTGTAAAATGTACAACTATGCCAGGAGTGCCGTTAGCAAGGCCATCGGATGTATCTACATTACATGACATATGGACGCGCGAAGTAGTAAATAGCTCCAGAAGAGGTAACAATCCATGTGATGACGTCGTCGCAAACCATGCGGTGTGATTGGTTTATTTTTTCTAGATTGATCCTTCCCAAACAACGCACAATCCAATGCAGGGATTGCATGTTTTTCTTCCGAAGAGGAGGAATACACTGTCAGAATGTTATTCTCTAGCCTGTAGTGGGGTGCTCTATAGCGAGTACAACCCATCTAGGGTTTGCTATATGTATCCTCATTGCTGCTAGTGAACCTCTTCCTCTTTTGCCTAAACTTCTCTTGCCTAGCTAGGACTTACCTAGCTATGGCTCCTAACTCTACCTACTATTTTCACATGCTATCAGAGCAGGTCGATCCCCTTGGGTCGATCCTGTGGGTGGGCTCACCACCTCACTGCTTCCGCTGCTACTGCTACTCTCTGTGTCGCACGCCCCGTGGCGTGCGACGGATTTTTCATCCCGCCGCGCGCTCGGAGCGTGCGGCGATTTTCTGCCCGCCGTGCGCCCCGAGGCGCGCGGCGGTTTTCTGCCCGCCGTACGCCCCGGGGCGTGCGGCGGTTCTCTGCCCGCCGTGCGCCCCGAGGCGCGCGGCGGCCTTCTGCCCCGTCGGTCCGCGCGTCGCCCCCGGGGGGCGCTTCGACGGGCGACGGGGACCAGCCCGTCGTCCCCCGTCGCCCGTCCTGGCCAGCGCGGGCTGCGCCAGCCCCGAGCGCGGCCCGTACGGGCTGCGCCCGGCCCGCGCGCGGCCCGTACGGGCTGCGCCAGGCCCGCGCGCGGCTCGGGCCGCCTGCGCGCGGTTCGTCGGGCTGTGCCAGGCCCGTGGGCGGCCCGTTCCTCTCTGTCCCTGAGCTGCTCGCTGTCCCCCGTGCTTCTGACGGTGCCCCACCCCTACTGCTGCCCGTTCTCCTGAATTAGGGTTTGGGGGTGAGGAGTGTGGGGGTGGCGGTTGTGTGTTACTCCCCTTGCTCCTCCTCCTCCCTGGTCTCCCACTGCTGCAGCTGCCGCTGAGGGGGGTGGGTGTGTGGGAGCCTAGGGTTTAGGGTTTTAGGGGGGTGCGTGGGAGTGGAGCTAGGGTTTGAGCATTGGGTGTGTGTCGAGGGTGTGGGGCAGTTGGAGGAGGTTGTGTGGAGGTACCTGTCGTGTCGCCTGCAGCGCCTGTAGTCTGTCGCCCTTGCTTCGGTAGCCAGTGAGCCTGCTGCACCAGTCGCCAGTGGGTCCGTTGCTCCTGCCGCTCTTCTATAGCCGCCGAGCCAGTTACTCCAGTAGTCCGTCGCCCTTGCTTCGGTAGCCTCTGAGTCAGCCGCTCCTGTGCCCGTGCCTCTGCAGCTTCAGTCGTTGCCTCCCATCTTCTCTACCTCCACAGCTCCTCCTCCTCCTCACTTGCCCGCTGTGATTAGCTCTAGCTTTGCTTACCTTTGTGAACTCCTGCTCTATACCTGCTTGCTCATTGTACTGATTACACCCCACTTTGGCTATGGGGGTGTTTCAGAATGTTATTCTCTAGCCTGTAGTGGGGTGCTCTATAGCGAGTACAACCCATCTAGGGTTTGCTATATGTATCCTCATTGCTGCTAGTGAACCTCTTCCTCTTTTGCCTAAACTTCTCTTGCCTAGCTAGGACTTACCTAGCTATGGCTCCTAACTCTACCTACTATTTTCACATACACTTCTGTGAAAGTAAGCAGTAGAAGAAGGCGCCATAGCTAGGAAAGCCCTAGCTAGCCAAGAAGCAGTTTAGGCAAAGAAGGAGGGGTTGCACTAGCAAGAATGAGGATACAAATAGCAAACCCTAGAAGGGTTGTACTCGCTATAGAGCACCCCACTACAGGCTAGAGCATAATATTCTGACACACCCCCATAGCCAAAGTGGGGTGTAATCAGCAGAGCAAGCAAAGCAGAACAAGCTCAGGGTGGATCACAATGTCACCACACATTCTGAGCACAAGTTCAGGAAGCAATAGTTTAAAGTTCACAATTATGAGCAAAGCTAGTGGTAGTCACAACGGGCAAGTAAGGAGGAGGGACAGTGAGAGGAGAGGAGATAGGAGGCGACGGCTGAAGCTGCAGACACACGGGCAACAGGAGGCACACTGGCACAGCGGCTACCGGAACAGCGCTCCGGACTACTGGAGTAACTGGCCCCGCGGCTAAAAGTAGCGGCAGACGAGCAACGGACCCACGGGCGACTGGCACAGGTGGCTACGACTGGGCTACCGGAGCAACTCCCCGGACTACAGGTGCTGCTGGCGACACGACGGCAACCTCCGTTCAACCTCCCCCAAACAGTACCACCCCCCCTGACACACACCCCCTGCTTCACCCCTAGCTCCACTCCCCCTTCACCCTCCCTTAGTACCACTCCGACGGCTCCAACAGGTCCACCCCCCCTCAGCGGCAGCTGCAGCACAGGGAGACGGAGGAGGAGGAGGAGCAGGGAACGACACACAGAAGCTGCACCCCCATACCCCCCACCCCCAAACCCTAATCCAGGAGAACGGGCAGAAGGAGGGGTGGGGCGCCTTCAGAAGCACGGGGGACAGCGGGGAGGACAGGGGCAGCGAAGAACGGGCCGCCCACGGGCCTGGCGCAGCCTCCCGAACCGCGCGCAGGCGGCCCGAGCCGCGCGCGGGCCTGGCGCAGCCCGTACGGGCCGCGCGCGGGCCTGGCGCAGCCCGTACGGGCCGCGCGCCGGCTGTACGGGCCGCGCGCAGGCCACGACGGGCGACGGGGGGCGACGCGCGGGTCCCCGTCGCCCGTCGTAGCGCCTCCTGGGGGCGACGCGCCGAGTGACGGGGCAGAAACCCGTCGCGCACCTCGGGGCGCACGGCGGGCAGAAAACCGCCGCGCGCCTCGGGGCGCACGGCGGGCAGAAAACCGCCGCGCGCCTCGGGGCACACGGCGGGCTGAAAAACCCTAATTTCGACGCCGCGTACCACGGGGCGCGCGGCGGACAGGGAGTAGCAGTAGCAGCGGAAGCAGTGAGGTGGGGCCCACAGGCCAGGAGCATATCGCTCTAATACCATGTGAAAGTAAGCAGTAGAAGAAGGCGCCATAGCTAGGAAAGCCCTAGCTAGCCAAGAAGCAGTTTAGGCAAAGAAGGAGGGGTTGCACTAGCAAGAATGAGGATACAAATAGCAAACCCTAGAAGGGTTGTACTCGCTATAGAGCACCCCACTACAGGCTAGAGCATAATATTCTGACAACTTCGTGATTAAACGAATCAATGACTTTATTCGTACAGCACAGATGTTGGAGCTCCATTCCTGGTGAGTGGGTATTTATCTGACGCTCGTATAATAGTTGAAGGTCCATGCGAGTTTGTTTACCTTCACGTAATCGATTCAATAACTCGGCAAATCTAGCCTCATCGCGCTGACGCATTATCGTCGTGAGCTCCACGAGTCGTACGCGTTCCCATAATTGTGATTCGTTTATGGTTGATGCTGAATGGTCTCCGAAACAATGTATATCACGCACCGGAGGAAGTTGGAAAAAATCACCAACAAATATCATATGCAAACCTCCAAAAGCGAAGTTTGCGTTGTTTGTCAGCTCCCGAAGTTTGAAGTCGATCCATTCAAACGTATTTTTTCCCACCATTGATATTTCATCAACAATGACAACTTTTACGTCACCAAGTCGTGCTCGCAAGGTATTCATCTTATCCGATGTCAACTTTTTGATTCGACGATTTTGAACGACGGGAATCATTAGGGCATTATGTATCGTATAACCCTTGATCTGGAAAGCAGCAACGCCTGAGGGTGCGATCTTTAACACCTTAATGGTACTGAAATCCGTGTGAATCTGCGCATGAAAGATCCGCATCAATCGATCATGTACATTCTTAATCAATACGGATTTGCCAACGCCGGCACCACCACTCACGAGTATGCAAAGAGGTCCATTTTCGAAAGATCGACGCACGCCTCGAACAATGTGGTCGGCAATTGCACGTTGCTCAGCATTTAGCATACGTTCCGTTTGCAAATATTCGTTGTCAGTTGTAACAACGGAACGAAACATATCAATCGAACGAACGGAATCGTGAAAGCCTAGCTCCACACCAATATCCACATCTGCGCCGCATTGAGGCGTATCATTATCAAAATCTTCATTATTATCCTCGTCATGCAATGCGTGTTCAAATGCGCGCATCCATGAATCGCCGCTG